AGGGGTAAAGGCATTTGAGGGTTTTTTTTAGTCTCTGGGAAGAAAAAGTAACTTTAGGGAAGGCTCCAACAGAATTTTTAAATCTGAAAGGTATGGAAAATGTTTTTCCCTGTCCCAAGGTAAAAACAAAAGGAAATGGTTTTGCTTTGCTGCTGGGAGATTTAGGTCACGCATAGGAAGATCGAGATGCAAGGAGAAGGCAGCTGAGGATAAAGGTGTGGGAGGTGTGGGTGTGGGAAATAAGCCTCAGAGCAGCATCTGTCTAGTAATGAGGCTAATTGTAGCTGTCACCTGTGATCATCCAGGTCTACCTTGTGTTACGGTGCTAAGCTACATTATCCTTTCTGATCGCTGCACAAATATTTATTGAGCGCCTACAATGCTCCAGGCTCTGTGCTAGATTCCGGGGCCACAGTGATGAGCAAAACCAGGTATTTTCCACAGTGCCCTGAGCGGGGTTGGGTGGGTTCTCGGGCTACTGGATGAGTCAGAAATACATTAAGCACGTAAAGCTATTATTACCAACTATGGTAAGTACTTTGAACGCCAAGTTCAGGGTGCCCTGAGAATGTAAAAACAGGCATATATTATAGGGTCTGGAGTGTTAGTGGAAGGTTCATCCCTTTATATATATATTTTTTAATCTTCATCCGAGGACATTTTTCCATTTTTTGGTCATATAGAGTGGGAAGGAGAGAGAGAGAGAGAGAGAGAGAGAGAGAGAAACATCAATGTGAAAGGGACACATCGAGTGGCTGCCTCCCACATGACCCAACCAGGGCTGGGGACAAACTGCAACTGAGGTATGTGCCCTCAGCGGACACCGAATCCGGGTCTCTCTGCACTGCAGGCCGACGCTGTAACCGCTGAGCCAAACCAGCCAGGGCCATATTGGGTTTTTAAATTTTCATTTTACTGAGGAGGAAACGGGGGTTCAGAGAAGTTAAGACAGCTGCTCAAAGTTGCACAGCAATTAATTGGGCAGAATTGGGTTTCAGATGGTTTCAGATGGACACAGGTCTGTCTGATCCCAGAGGCTTTTCTCTCAACCACTTGACTCTAGGAGTATCCTGGGCTCTATGACAACTTCATGGATGTTTACCCTGTATTATTGAATCTTCGTGGACACCTGTGCAGTAGGGATCATTATACCCAATATAAGGTTGAGATGACAGAGATTTAGAGGTTAATTAACTTGCCCCAGGTCACACAAGTTAGCTGGTGATAGGGCAGGAATTTGAACCCAGGTTGTTGAACCCAAAAGCCAGTGAGTTTTTCACTCGATTCCATTGACACCTCCGCACCCGCACCCCGGGCACCTTCGCTTTACAGACAAGACTGGAGTTGGAGCATCCTGTACGGGGACCCTCTGCCGCAGGGACGGAGCCGGGCTGTATGTCAGTCCGTACCCTCCACCTCCTTGTCCTTCTCCATGTAGTTTCCCATGTGACGTATGCTCTGTGCCCAGAAAGAGCTGTGATGTTTGGGTGCCAGAGCCTGGTTCCCATGTTCCTCGGAGAGACTTTCACCTCCGTGGGCCTCAGGCTGTGAACGGGCAGGAAGCCTCTTCTTGAGCAGGCCTGTGCTCGGGGGGACAGAAGGAGGAAAAGAGGTGCTGGAGGACCCTCTTCCCAAAAGGTGAGACCAAGGAGGTGGTTTCTAGGAGTGCCCCCGGCCTGCGCCGTTGCTTCCCCACCAGCGGATGGGCGCAGAGAGGACCAGCCGAGAGCCAGTGCCTGAGCCAGACGCGAGTCCGAGCCTGCGGGATAAAGGGCCGTGGTCTGGGGCAGCAGGCTCTGGCAGGGTGCTTTGCTGGGCACCACGCCCTGGTGAACAGATTGACACCTCCCAGTCATCTTGGCTGGTCACCAGAAGCCATTTTGTTAGCAGGCGCTGGGCCAGAGGCCAGGGTGAGCCATCGGGAGGTCCAGGAGACCGGCTCCCTAACGTAAAGATAGTCCGCAGTGCCCCGTGGAGGACTCGGGGGGGGGGGGGGGGGGAGACGTGGGTAGAAACGGCCCCAGGGAGAGGAAGGACATGAAGCACCACCCACGGAAATATAATACGAGCCACATGCGTCACTTTACGTTTTCTAGTAGCTGCGAGAAGGGTGGGAAGGAACAGGTCAATGAATTTTAACAAGGTGTGTTGTTTAACCCAATGTTTACAAAATCGTGTACATCCAAACTGTCATCAATAACCAGTTATTTGCAGGTGATTTTGCATTCTAATTCTTGAAGATCCCGGTGTATTTCACACCGAGCCCATTCCCACTGGGACTGGGCAGTTACCGTCCTCAGCAGCCTCGTGTGGCCCGTGGCTGTCCACGGGTTAGTTCGGAGACTCACCTCCTCTGCCTCCACCTTCAGCTAAGGGATGGACAGGTGCTCGCACCCGGCCGTGGGGAGAGGGCAGCCCAGTTCCACCCCGGCCTCAGGCCTTGGACCTCTCATCTCACCACGCGCACGGCTGCGGGGTTTCTGGGCCGCGTGGGAAGAAAGGCTCTGAGGTAGGGGCTGGAAAGCCACGACGTTGGGACGGAAAGGAGAAGTGCCCTTTGGACTCAAGTCCGGAAAAAGGAGGCGGCGGCCTGCCTGCGCCAAGGCCAGGGGGCAGTGGGTGTGGGACCGGGCGGCGTGGAGCCTGCAGGATCAGAAGCCCAGAGGCCCGCATTGTTCGCCTGTCACACTTCCTTTGGCTTTATTGCCTTTGTCCAACACCCTATTGTCTGGTTTCCTTTTGTCCCCCTTTCAGCACTGCTGCCTTTTATTTCCCAGCCTGCCTGGTTGTTTTCATTTCTTTTGTCTGAAGTTCCTGAGAGGAAGGTTTTATTTTCAGCGGTTTGATTAATTCACAGCTTGAGCCGGGGTTTGTTTGTTATGTAATTGCTGCCCTCAGCTTCAGGATAATACCCCTCCTCAACTCCCTCCTCCCCCACTCTGGCCCGCCTGCTTGGGCCTGGCTCTGCACCCCTCCCTGTGCCCGGATGGGCTGTGCCGCCCACTTCCTGGATGCTCTCCAGGTTCCGGGGAGGACACCCAGAGCTGGACCCCAAAGCCCTGGTGAGCTGGGTTGGGGTCTCTTCTTTTCTCCTGGGCTGACGTTCCCAGGGTCAAACCTGCCCCTCCTCGCCCCGCCGTGCCCAGTCCTGGGTCCCACACCAGTCCCCAGGGCACCCTGCCCTTCGGAAGTGGCAGGAGGGTCTAGGCTGATCTGTAGGATGGCATCCAGTCAAACATCTCATTCAACTGGGATGCTTTTTCACGTGTTCAGGGTGTTGTATGGCACACTGTCCTTTATTACAGGTTCTAAGGAACACTTAGTTGTGCGGAGTTGATGTACTATACAAATACAGTGCACCTGCGATTTAAGGGCTGTTTTACTACGTCTGATTTTTGCCTTATACTCCCTTCTAAAAAATGAATGCCTATGTTACCAAAAAAAAATTTTTTTTTTAATTTTATTAAACAATGTTTCTCAAACCAGAATGTTTCAGAATCACCTGGAGGCCTTGTTAAAACAGATCCCTGGCCCCACCCACAGAGATTCTGGTTTGTGAGGAACTCAGGACTCAGGCCCTGCTGAGGCTGTTTCCTTGTGCTGCGTCCCAGCCAGCTGTGGGTTAACAGACACCACATAGGTGCTCACTGCCGCCTGCTAGTGTTCCAGACACCGTACAGATAACAGTTCACAGCCTCTTTTACAGATGAGGCAACCGAGGTGTGGAGAGGTTCAGGAACTCACTCAAGGTTGCTCAGCAGCTAGTTGAGTGTCCAAGGCAAGACCCATGCATACTCGATGGAACCTGCTGGGTGACCCCCCTGGCCTCACCTCAGTGACCTTGGAGGATGAGCAGGGGCACTCTGGGGATCTGCCTCTGGCCCTGAGCCTGGCATGCTCAGTGGAAGCCACTCCCCAGGACCCTGTGATGGCTTTGCTACTCTATAGCTGTGACTGGTGGGAGACCGCGATGGGAGCAGTGGGTTCAGAGGCTGCTTGAACCAGGGGTTGCAAATGCCTCCTGGGGCCTTTGCTCAGTGACAGACTCCAGCTACATATAAGAAAAGGTTTTCCTTAAAGCCACTCATCTGCTGCTCAGCCTGTTTATTTTCCCCCTTTTCATAGATGCATGGATACACGAAACAGTTCTGTTTTATCTTGCCTCTACTATAAGAAAAACAAAGAATACACGCATTGTGATTGTGTAGGGCAGCTGATACTTGGTTTCCCTCTTGGGGAGTGGTAAAGAGCGGTGGGGAATAAGGCAGACTGGCCTGTGCGTCAGGGGAACCTCATTTCCAGCCAAGTATTGCCACAGACCAACTTCAGGAGACGTTCAAATCTAGATTTTTATGTGATACTTCTTGATTTTAAAATTTTGGTAACTAATTACAAATAGGTGTACACACAAACATACACAGACACACATACTTGTATAACCTTGGCTTTATTGGGCTGAGAAACAGCCACTGAACACTCTCTGGCCTTCTTAGATGGACCCATCGGGCTGCTAGTCTCGGCCCTGGAGCAGCCAGGGAGCACCGAGGTTGAGCCCAATCTTCTCTGCAGCTTCCTATTTAAACACAAGACAGAAGAGCCCTGGCCAGTTTGGCTCAGCGGTTAGAGCGTCAGCCCGCGGACCAGAGAGTCCTGGGTTCGGTTACTGCTAAGGGCAGGTACCTCAGTTGCCGTTTGTCCCTGGCCCCGGTTGGGGTCGTGTGGGTGGCAGCCGGTCGATGTGTCTCTCTCATGGCGATGTTTCTCTGCCCCACCCCACCCTCCCGCTCTATCTGAAGATAAATGCAAAAATGTTGTCGTGGGGTGAGAATAAAAAAAATAAATAAATTTTAAAAAAGACAGAAGAATCTTTTATGATCTTTCACTGTAGGTCCCCAGCGGGAGCCTCCATCTCGGATGAGTTCGCCTGTCTGGGGCGGGCGGGGGAGGGTGGAGTTGCGGTCTCCAGGCTCCGCTCATTCACGCTTCCCCTCCGCCCTCAGGATGTCCATGAGGAGCCCCGGCTCTGCCCAGCTGGCCCCGGATGGCGGCGGCACCATGGTGAACTGTGCTGTCAAGTCAGAAGGAAAGAAGGAGCCCTGCCACGAGGCCCCCCAGGGCACAGCTGCCACAGCTGAACCCCAGCCCGGAGACCCAGCCCGAGCCCCCCAGGACGGTGCTGACCCCCAAGCTCTAGCCCAGGTGCCCAGCGCTTTCCTGGGGGCTCCTGGATCAGTGTCCCCAGCTTGCCAGTGTCCCCACCACCTCCGTGTACCACTCCTGACCTCTTTAGTCCAGGCAGGCACCCATCCCCTAGCTGGGCAGAGGGGCAGCAGAACTGGTCATCTCTGGGGCAAGACTTAGGTGGATGGAGAGGTGCTGCCAAGTCCATTTGGGCCACCTGTCCGAGGGGACATGGACTCTCCAGCACTCACTCACCTGACATTAGCCCTCACCCATGTGACCAGTCCTTACCCCAAGGACTAGTTGGAAACATAGGATACCTACACTCAAAGTTTTGCTTAGAAGTAATCTACCAGCTTTTTCATCTGAGTTAAGAAAATTAGTCATGTTACTGAAGCCAGAGTTACATTTAGGACACTACAATTCCTCATCTTTCAAATGAAGGAGCTGAACTACACGGGAGGATTCTCTGCTCTTAAAAATTCTAGGGTTCCATGTAAGCGATGTTAAAAGGAAATCTCCAGCTAAAAGCCACATGGGAAGAAAATAGGATTCTGGGCAGGGGTCCGGACTGGAGGAGTGTCTGGGAGCAATTTAGTGGGTTAGGAGGTTGTGTGGTGATCAAGGAAGACTTCCTGGAGGAGTAGGGCCTCCAGCTGAATCTTAAAGAATGGAGATGAAGTGGATGAGAAGAGGGGAGAAGTGGGGTGGGAGTCCTTGGAGTAACCAGCCTGGCCGGGGTGGTGTATATACAAGGGCATAGCCATTAACAGCAGGCTTTGGGCCCCTGACTCGGCAGTGCAAACTCACCCACAGGCATTAACTCCCTGATTCCAGCAGTCCTGTGACAGGGATGGTATGAGTATTTCCATTTTCAGCAAAGGGGAAGTCACATTCAGAGAAGTTCAGGGACTCGTGAGACCAAGCACCTTGTGAGTCACTGAGCCCGGGCTGAGCCAGGTCTCTTATCTTTAGACCTTTTATTCTTTTTAGTGTATCAGGCAAAGTTAAGGAAGGCGGGGAGGGAGGACCCCACGGTGCACACCTCCGGGGTGCCCAGCCCCTGCTGCAGCCTGCCCTCCCTCCCCTGGAGGTGACAGTGACATTTCAGTGTGTCTTACAGGATTGCAGCTCACCAGAGAGCAATGGGTCCCCAGAACCCAAGAGACCTGGAGGATCCGAGGCTGCTTCTGGAAGCCAGGAGAAGCTGGACTTCAACCGAAATTTAAAAGAAGGTAAGATGTCTGCCCTAGTTAGAGGCAGGAGCCTGGGCTGGGGCGGTGTTAGGACAGCCGGTCCTTATCCCTTTGGTATCTTCCAGTCATGCCCGCCATCGAGAAGCTGCTGTCCAGTGACTGGAAGGAGAGGTTTCTGGGAAGAAGCTCTGTGGAAACTAAAGATGTCAAAGGTGAAGGCCATGAGGGTGAACAGGGGAGGGATGTCTGAACCCCTGTCCCTTAGCCTGGCCACGCAGGCTAGGCCTACAGGGCAATTCTTGGGGCTCTCTGTGCCCTTAGACCTGGGCTCCTGCCTCCCTTCGGGCCAGTGCACCCCTCACCTGGGGACCAAGCATTAGGTCTGGCTTTCCCCACGTGAGGGAGGCCTGGCGGGAATCAAATCTCATGGATATGGGTTTGGGCTCTTATCAGGGACCCTTGTGACCCAGGCACATCATGATTGCCCCTTTTTTGGATCTGACTACAAAATGATTCTGCCCAGCCGGTGTGGCTCAGTGGATTGAGCGCTGTCCCATGGACCAAGAGGTCCCAGTTCGATTCCCAGTCAGGGCACATGCCTGGGTTGTGGGCTCCATCCCCAGTTTGGGACGTGTAGGAGGCAGCCAATCGATGTTTCTCTCTCACATTGATGTTCCTATCTCTCTCCCCCTCCCTTTCTCTTTAAAAAAATCAATAAAAATATTTAAAATAATAATAATAATAATAATAAATAAAATGATCCAAACATTCCCTTTCACTTTTGACAATTAATTCTTGGCCACAGGAGGACTAAGTGAATTAAAGGGTCACTTCGTGGCTTCATTAGAGTGATAATTTTCCCAATGTGGTCGATCACACTCACAGAGGGCACTTTATTTATTTATTTATTTATTTATTTATTTATTTATTTATAAGAAAAAGTAACCAAATTTTAATACATGTATAGTATTACATACATGAAAGTCAGAGACTCCCTTCCCCCCATGCAGGAGAGGTTCGGAGACAGAAGGGAGCATGGATGTAGACACTACTCGGAGCTGGGGATGAGCTGAGGTTCCGTGGGGGCTTCAAAGAGTGTCATTGCAGGATGCTAAGAAGAACAGAGATTTAGTAAATAAAATTTTACCCTGTCCTGTAGGTGGGTCAAAAAGATGATCACTGACGATCTTTTATTATGGACAAGGCCCCTAATGCAGGTTTTTCTGGGTCGTTAAGGGGAGGGGCAGAAGTTTCTCTTGAGCCTGAGGCTACAGTTGCCTTTAGCTCAAAACAATCTGCACACCACTGAGGCACATCTTGGGGTGGCCATTCTGAGCCCCACAGTTCCTCCCTCAGAAACGTCCCTGGAAGCTTCACCTTCCAGAAGATGGCGGATGGACTGTTTTGTCATAAATCAGTCTTAGTCTTGAGAAGAATGAGATACATCTCATTTCTGGAGGCAGCGTTGCCAGTGGGCTCCCAGAGCTCAGCCACGGTGCCAGCAGTCAGGTGTTTAATCAGAGGCATCTACGGAAACAAAGGAAAACAAAGGCAATGATCGAAGCAAACGGATCTCGGTTCTGGGTTCCGAAGGCAGGCAGTCAAGAAGATTTCTGGATGTCTGTCCGAAGCATCTTGAGATGGAGGGAAGGCAGGCAGTGGCAGCCCCTGAGAGTCCCCTGGTTTCCAGTCTGAATGTCTGGGGATCTTTCTGCAGCGGCACCAGGATTGTCCACAGATGTGCCGTGGTTGTGACTTAGCTGACGTCTCTACCAGGCTGTCCCACTTCAGTTTCTGTGACCTTGGAAAAAGGGCAGTTTTCGTGCTGAATGATTCCAAATCCAACAGTGGGAAAATGAAAATGTTAGTTTGGAGGGTTGCAACCAAATATTTTAAGAAAACTGGAGAACTCAGGATCGAGTCCAGTTTATAGGTAGAAAAATTTGAAAACTCAAAGGACATTGAACAGCGTTGGAGTCTAATACCCATAAAGGTATATTACAGTTTGTATTGAAACAAATCTTTTAAAATCACCCCCATCTTTATCAGAGATAGCCACAGTAAGACTTGCGAAATAAGTCTAGTTTCAGTCAATGTGGCCTGATTATTTGTATAAGTCCAGCAAGAATAGTAATCGGCCACATAGGCTCATTTAAATCTGCTTTGCTGGAGTTTTGCATGAGGAATCTTCAGACTGGATTTAACAAGGCCTCTCAAGGCTTGAAAAGCCAAGGCAAGGACTTGCTGTCAGACGGTGCCTGCGATGCTGCAGGTTTGGGTGAGTTCTACACCTGCCGGGAAGAAGAACTCTTTACTCACCTGGTAATGCTGCCGGGAACCATGAAAGCAAGGTACCAGGACAGTATTTCCAAAGGTTTTTTTTTTAATATTTTTTTTTTTTAAAGAGGGAGAGGGGGAGAGAGATACTGATCGGCTGCCTCCTGCATCCCCCCCCCCCCCCCCCCCGCCCCAGGAATCAAAACCACAATTCAGGCATGTGCCTTGGCTGAGAATTGAACTGGCCACCTCTTGGTACGTGGGATGACGCTCAGTCCACTGAGCCACATCAACCAGGGCTCAAAGTTTTTTATTGGCTCCCATAAGTCAATGTTAATTCCTTAAAGCTGTCTGCTCCTATCTGAGTCTATGCCTCTCTCTCAAATATGACATTCCCATCAAAGCCTTAAAACCAGTTTCTAATTGTGTCCTGTTATAAAGGGAACAGATTCTTACTGAACTTATGCAAATAACTGTATTGCCATTAAAATAGTAACACTTGTTAAGAGTTTCCAAATTCTGGAGGGATCGGGTAGGGAGAAAAAAATAGAAATGTTTCAATATTGCTCACAAAGGTATAATTTACCAACTTGTTAAGTCATCGGTAGTTTAAGAGAAACAAGTTCCCTTTTATCTGGAAAACAAAAGATTTAAAACATCAGTAATCTCAGACAAGTCATAAAATCCATCAGTTCATTCATTCCTCGATGGTTAAACTTGTTCTGCTGGATTCCCGGTTTCTCTTGACCTTGCCTGATAAGCGAATGTGATCGGGTCAGCGATCATTCCAAGAAGTTCGCAAGGCCATCGATGTATGATTTGCTTAGTGAAGTGGGTGCCTCTGTCACAGAGTTCCCAGGCTCTCCCCCCACTTACTGTGTGAGAAGCCCAGAGGATGGGGGGCCTGGGCATCGGTATTTTCCAAAGGCTTCCTGAGTAATTCTGACACGAATGGACTGTGGCCTGCCTTCTGCATCTGATGTGAGCTAAATCCGAGGGCAGGGAAGCACTCACTGTTGCTGAGAACCATGTACTAGATCCTGGGCTAACCGTTTAAAAAAATTTTTTTTTCTTCTTTATTGATTTTAGAGAAAGAGGAAGGGAGAGGGAGATAGCAACATCATTGAGAGAGAACATCAATTGGCTCCTCCTGCTTGCCCCCCACTGGGGATCGGGCCCATAAGCTGGGCATGTGCCCTGTCCAGGAATCAAACTGGTGACCTCTTGGTGCATGGGTCGACGCTCAACCACGTAGCCACACTGGCCGGACTGGGCTAAAAGTTTTATAGCCCTTGTCCCTTTAACTCTGAAGTGATGATTAGTGCACTCATCTGTAGATTTTAAAAAGTCAAGTGCAGAGAAGTTAGAATCTTGCCCAGTAGCTCTCAGGCAGGGTGGGTTCAAAGGGGGATTTGACCCCGATCTGTCTTGTTCCAAAGCCTGAGCATGTCCCGCTTGGCCACTGCTGTGGGATGGTTGTGCACCCTGACCCTGCGGCACTGGGCACTTGAGGGTGTCCGAGGGGTGGGCAGGGCCGAGATGCCCTACTGTCAGCATTGCCAGTGGCTGGGGGTAGCACGTCGACGGCAGCTGGTTGTCAGCAAGATGAGGAGCCCCTCCAGGGCAAGGCTCGTGTCAATCATCTCTGTCATCAGCCTCTCACAGGCCTGAGACAGAGCAATTGCTCAATAAATATCAGATGGTGGACGGCTAGACAGAGGAACAAGCAAACATTCTCAATGGTGGCTTTCACCTGGAACAGGGACCCAGGAGAGCCTGGCAGAGAAGGAGCTCCAGCTTCTGGTCATGATCCACCAGCTGTCCACCCTGCGGGACCAGCTCCTGACGGCCCACTCGGAGCAGAAGAACATGGCTGCCATGCTCTTCGAGAAGCAGCAGCAGCAGATGGAGCTGGCCAGGCAGCAGCAGGAACAGGTAGGTCCGCTTGGTGTCTGGCTTTCTTTCCAGGGGAGAGGACTGTCAGGGCCTAGAGGGGAGCATCTTGAGGGCAGGCCTTGTCAGTGCATGCTGAGGCTGGGGCAGGTGGGGGCGGGAGCTCTTGGGGAGGGGTGTGTGGGCCAGGGCCAAAGGATTCCCACCTCTGGCTATTTGTAAGCCCTTTTCGGGGGTCTAGGGGTGGAGGGATGCTGAAGGGTCCTGCCCAACCTCCATCCCTGGCAGCTGAGGGAAGGTCGAGCTCCCAGTAAAAGGAGACTCAATTCTGAGGGTTGGCTGTCTTGTTTCTTGCCCCGCTCAGCCTCCTCTTGCAAGGCAGGGTGTAGCGGGGCCTAGAAGGCACTGGGAGGTGGGACCTAGGGCCGAAGCCCATGTCCCTTTTGCTTCCTCTTCCCTGTGCCAGATCGCTAAGCAGCAGCAACAGTTAATTCAGCAGCAGCACAAAATCAACCTCCTTCAGCAGCAGATCCAGGTGATAAGAGGGAAGGGCTGGGTGATGGGGGAGCTGGAGCCTGAGGGTTTGACACCTACCGGAGAGGTCTTGGGGTCACGGAGGGACAGGCAGAATCACTGAGGCAGACCCCCAAGGAGGGTGCTGATTCCTGCTTTATTCTCCTCCCCTGTCTGTCTGCCTCTGCTTTAAGGGAGAGGCCAGGAGTATCTTCCTCCCCAGCTGGGAATTGAGGGCAGGTAGACGGGCCCACGGAGGTGGCATGGGGTCAGATAGATCCCTTGGAAGACTGTTCCCACCCGAAGCCCTGTGCCTGTCAATCTTGAGTCTACTCTCTGCCCAGGGCGGACCACAGCTGGGTAGCCCTTGGGGCCTCCAGGGACTGACACAGAGTGTCTTTGCTCTCAGCAGGTTAACATGCCTTATGTCATGATCCCAGCCTTTCCCCCAAGCCACCAACCTCTACCTGTCACCCCTGAGTCCCAGCTGGCTTTGCCCATCCAGCCAATCCCTTGCAAACCAGGTGAGTGGGGAAGGGGCGGTCCCTGCGGTAAGGGAAGGAGGCCCGGAGACACTCATTCATTCATCTGCAGTTTGGCCTCTCTGGGCCTCGGACTGGGGTCTGTCCAGTGGAGGAATGATCCCTTGTTTCCAAATGTCAGGGGGAGAATGAAAACTAGCGCAGCAAAAACCATCAAGCGCTCTCCACATTCCGCCGATCTGGGTCGGTTCTCCTCATTCCTGGGGTGTTTACTGTGCCAGAATGTTACTATTTTGAACGTTAACTGAGATGTATACATCTCATTTATACACTCATACTTCTGTTCTGCCCTGACCACTGAAACTCCGCGAACTGAGCACCGACCGCAGGATGTCGGGTGGCCGTGGGGTGATGGAACGTGGACTCTGAGCTCAAGGCGTTGACAGTCTGGGGAGGGAGGAATAAGTATGCCAACAACCAGGGCATCTGGGACGGTTTCTTGAGGAGGTGGCGCTTGGCTCGGTCCTGGGAGGGTGGACCTGTGAGGGTGGAGCTGGGAGCTCAGGGTCCAGGCACTGGAGGGGCGGTCAGGCAGAGGCCCTGGAACCTGAGGCCCACCTGGTGAGGAGAGCGCACGGCAGGTGCGGAACCGTGGCTGGGGTGGCCGTGGACTGAGCGGGGGCTTGGGCTTTACCGTGTAGGCTGGGGCGTGCTGGAACCTGCGTAGAGCACGCTCGCCATGCTGGCTGTGGGCAGTAGACGATGGAGGGCTGTGGAGGTGATTCTAGCAAGAGGGGTGACAGCCGGAACGAGGGCAGTGACTGTGGGACACAGGCAGAGATAGAATTATTAGGCCACGATCATGGATTCCGTGTGAGTGGTCATGGGGGATAGGGTGGAAGTCCTGCCTACAGTGGCCCCAGGAGCGAGAGTAGCTGTTAAGTCGGTTCTTCTGCCCCACCCTCCCAGTTCCTCCCAGTTCCAGGGGAAGTCCAGCCAGCGAGTCCCTGCAGGTCCACCATCACGCCTGAGGGCCAGGGGCACAGTTCATGGGTCAGCCCCACTGGAGGGCAGGTTCCAGTGGGGGTCGTGGGGGAGGGGGAGGGTCAAGGGGGGAGGATAGGGCAACAGCATAAATCATGACAGTTCCAGGTGAGCATGGGGCAGAGCCACGGGGCAGAGGAGAGCAGGGGCCTGGTCAGGGGAGGGGCCGCACCCGTTCTGGACAAGGGAGGCATGGAGTCCACTGGAAGACCTGGATGGGCCCTGCTTCGCCTGCTCCAGAATTCCAGTAAGCAGGGGCCTGCAGGCTGCCAGGTGCCCCTTCCCGAAGCGAGTGAGTAGTCCCAGCTCATGTGCCTTCGAGGGTGCCCCGTTGCCCGTAGCATGGAGTCCATACTCCAGAGCGAAGCCTGCGCAGGCCTCGGCCCACTCGCCCATCCTGTGCCAGTCTTCATTCCCGTGTCTTGCTTTCACACCCCACCGTTCCGTCTCCCTGCCCACCCGCCAGCAGTAGCTCCCGCTCGGCTGCCCCAGGAAGCCTGCTCCAGTCCTCCCTCTGGAACAGAGTTCTCTCGAATGCTGTCTGCTCAGCCCATATTACATGGCTGTGTGGTTAGTGATTTGTAGACATGGCTCTCTCTCCAGCTGAACTGTCAGCTCCTAGATTCTGGGCCTGGAGGAGACTGAGACAGGCGAGGAAGAAGAGAGAGCTGTGCAGGAGGGAGAGGGTAGGCTGTGGGGTCTAAAGGACCCGGGTTCCACTGTCGGTGCTCCCATTGATTAACCGTGTGGACAACCCATTTAACTCCTCCAGCTCTCTGTAAAAGGGAATGATGTGTTATATCCCACACAGTAAGGATTATTGTGAGATAATGCACAGGCCACACAGTGGGTAGCTGCTTCTGTGCCTGCGCATAGTGTCTGTGAAGTGAGTAGCTGGTGTCCCTGCTCTCATTTCACACTCGGTTTGGAACTCCAGGCTGATGGTTTGGAACTCCAGGCTCGGGGCCGGGCCAGGGCCGGGCAAGGGCCGGGCGGGCCGGCGGGCCGGCGGGCGGCAGTGCCGGCGGAGTGCAGAGCAGCGGTGGGGAGAGCGCAGGAGGTCCTTGGCAGCACTTTGGGGCCGGGGTGGGTGGTGGTTGGGAGCAAGCTGGGCCAGCTCCGAGCCCCGGTCCACTTTGTGCTGCGGGGACCTCGTCAAGCAGGATGTCTGCCGTTCTGTGCTCATCCAGGACTTTTCCCCTTGCCGCCTTTTCCACAGTGGAGTACCCGCTCCAGCTGCTGCACAGCCCCCCAGCCCCAGCTGTAAAGAGGCCCGGGGCCCTGGCCGCCCACCATCCCCTGCAGGTACTGTTCCGCCCACTTCCTGGCTGGAAAGGCTGGCTGCCGCCTTGTCTGTTCTGGGTATGCCTCCCCCTGTCTCTCTGGGGGGGCCCCCACGGGTGTGTCTCACCCTCTGCCTCTGGGTCTCCTCTAGGAGCCCTCCCAGCCCCTGAACCTCACAGCCAAGCCCAAGGCCCCTGAGCTGCCCAATACCTCCAGCTCCCCCAGCCTGAAGATAAGCAACTGTGGACCCCGGCCCCCCAGCCATGGGGCTCCCACACGGGACCTGCAGTCTAGCCCCCCGAGCCTGCCTTTGGGTAAGCCTTCCACCTCCTGCACCCTTCCCTCGCCCTCTTCTAGGGGAGAGTCAAGAGAGTATGATGTGACCTCGGGGATGACATTTCCCCTTCCGGTTTCAGCATTCAGTGTCTCGGGAGACCGCCCTCCTCCTCTCCCCCACCATGTGTCTGGGCACCCAGGCCTCGGGTGATCCAGGCCTCTGGGTTGTACAATTTCAGGGCTACTGTCCTTATTTCTAGTCTATTGACACAACTGCCAGTGTAAATGGCGCCCCCTTGGGGATGTGCAGTGCAACAGCCTGGGAAGGGGAAGAGGGAGCACAGGAGGGACGTGGCATGAACTAGGGTGACCCCTGAACTCCCCCTCCATGTCCCTTCTCTTCCTACCCCCACAGGCTTCCTTGGTGAAGGGGATGCTGTCACCAAGGCCATCCAGGACGCCCGACAGCTGCTGCACAGCCACAGCGGGGCCTTAGAGAGCTCCCCCAACACGCCCTTCCGTAAGGTACGGGCCCTGCTCTCTTGTGCTGGGAGCCCGGAACAAACGGATGGTGGCCAGGGGAGCGGAGGGGGAGCGAAATGGGGTGACACAGGGAGAGGCTGAAGGACAGGTGTCTCATCAATCCCAGGACCTCATCAGCCTGGACACGTCCCCGGTCAAGGAGCGACTGGAGGAGAATTGTGTGCACCCTCTGGAGGAGGCCATGCTGAGCTGTGACGTGGATGGTGAGGGCTCTGGGCACCGGGCTGATGGGCAGGAGGACCTCTGCTTCCACCAGAGCCAGGGTGGAGCAGGTCGCGTCTGTTTCCTATCCCTCGTCTCCCTTTGTCTGTGGAGTCCCAGGATGCATCTGTCTCTGGGTCCCTGGCCTGGCCTGTGCTGACATCTTGCTGCGGGCCATCCCTGGGTGCTATGGGAGCCCTCCAGCACTCCCTAGTGGTTAACCGTGAGGTGTTTCTTTCTGCTGGCCCTGGCAGACTGTCCTTACCCTAGACTGGCTGCCCTGCTGACTCCACCCCTGTCCCCCAGGCTCCCGCCACTTCCCCGAGTCCCGGAACAGCAGCCACATCAAGAGGCCCATGAACGCCTTCATGGTGTGGGCCAAAGACGAGCGGAGAAAGATCCTCCAAGCCTTCCCGGACATGCACAACTCCAGCATCAGCAAGATCCTCGGTAAGGGCCCGTGGGCAAGGCCTGCAGGAGCTGTGGGTGTCCTGGAGCCGTAGTCCAGCAGGACGTGGTCGTGGGAGCCGCCTGGATCTATTTGGGACTTGCTTGCTGCTAGTCCACGCCAGGTTGAACTCCAGTGAAATCTGATGAGGTGTAGGAGTCAGGCAGGATGTGAGGCAGTGGGGTCCTAGGGTCTTATACCATCGTCTGGCTCTTCTGCTAGCACCTGCACCCAGGAACTTAAGGTGTGTGTGTGTGTGTGTGTGTGTGTGTACCTGAGCAGCCTCCCTCATCTCTGCCTAACTTACCTGTTCCACTGTTTGCCCAGATCCTTGAAGCTGGCTGTGGCAGGAACCAGGTGTTCTTGGGCTGGCAGTAGAAAGGTTTTTAAGTGAGGTACCCTGATTGGAGGCCACGGTGGGATGTGGGGTGAAGCAGGTGGGGCTAGAAGAGAGCAGGTGTTTTCAAGACTGAGGTTCCTCCAGCGTCTGCGCTGGTCTCTGAGCACAGACAGCAGATATTTTGTCCTGAGCGGGGAGCCTGCAGTAGCTGCTCTTTTGTTCATACAAATCATGGAGACTAGAGGCCTCCCAGAAGTTGCTGGGCAGTTTGGAATGTGTGTGGGTGCTGTATCTTAAGCTGGCAATTGGATACCCTATATGTGCCAGCTTCATTCATTCATTTGCTTGACATCCAAGGAGTGTCCTCATTGGGCCAGGTTCTTGCTAAGTGCTTGCACTTGTACTGGGGAACCGGAACCTTCTTGGCACCTCCGGGGCCTGCAGGGGGTTGAGGGTGGTCGGCAGAGCTCAGTGCTGACTGCCTGCCCCTGGGGACTGGCCCAGGCTCCCGTTGGAAGTCCATGACCAACCAGGAGAAGCAGCCCTACTACGAGGAGCAGGCCAGGCTGAGTCGGCAGCACCTGGAGAAGTACCCCGACTACAAGTACAAGCCGAGGCCCAAGCGCACCTGCATTGTGGAGGGCAAGCGCCTGCGGGTGGGCGAGTACAAGGCCCTGATGAGGACCCGGCGTCAGGATGCCCGCCAGAGCTACATGACCCCGTGAGCAGACCTTCCCCAGGCAGCCGAGTCCACGTGCACGTGTGTGCCTGTGCGTGGGTGTGCCTGTGCGTGGGCGTGCCTGTGCATGGGGGTGTGCTTGTGCGTGGGCGTGTGCCTGTGCGCGGGGATGTGCCTGTGCATATATTTGTGCAACTCTTGAGAATGGCTGGGTGTTAATGTGTGACTTGCCTGTGTGTGCCTGCAGGCGTGCTGTGCGTGTGCACTGTTGGCTATATTGAGTACATGTGTACAGAGGTGTGTGTGAGCATCTGTGTGGGCCTCTGTGTGCCTGCAGGGGCAGCTGTGCGTGTGCACTGTTGGCTATGTTGAGTACATGTGTACAGAGGTGTGTGTGTGAGCATCTGTGTGAGCATCTGTGTGCCTGCAGGAGCAGCTGTGTGTGTGCACTGTTGGCTATGTTGAGTACATGTATACAGAGGTGTGTGTGTGAGCATCTGTGTGCCTGCAGGGGCAGCTGTGCATGTGCACTGTTGGCTATGTTGAGTACATGTGTACAGAGGTGTGTGTGTGAGCATCTGTGTGAGCATCTGTGTGCCTGCAGGAGCAGCTGTGTGTGTGCACTGTTGGCTATGTTGAGTATATGTGTACAGAGGTGTGTGTGTGAGATCTGTGAGCCTGCAGGGGCAGCTGTGTGTGTGCACTGTTGGCTATGTTGAGTACATGTATACAGAGGTGTGTGTGTGAGCATCTGTGTGCCTGCAGGGGCAGCTGTGCATGTGCACTGTTGGCTATGTTGAGTACATGTGTACAGAGGTGTGTGTGTGAGCATCTGTGTGAGCATCTGTGTGCCTGCAGGAGCAGCTGTGTGTGTGCACTGTTGGCTATGTTGAGTACATGTGTACAGAGGTGTGTGTGTGAGATCTGTGTGCCTGCAGGGGCAGCTGTGCGTGTGCACTGTTGGCTATGTTGAGTACATGTGTACAGAGGTGTGCGTGTGTGTGTGAGCATCTGTGTGGGCCTCAGTGTGCCTGCAGGGGCAGCTGTGGGGTGGGTACCTACCTAGTGGCTCACGGCATAAATCAGTGACTAAGTGTGGGGACTGGTGTGTACCTGGAGAAATGTGCCTGTGGATCCCATTTCTGACAAACTCGTAAAAAGTCGGGTACTAAAACCCGAGGTATTCATACAGACTTGACCAAAACAAGCACTTACACATACAACTTCCAGAAGTGGGGTTCACACGCAGTCCTCCAAGGAATACCCTTTGAACATACCCACAGCCCCGAGATTGCGTGTGTGGGGGGGGCTGTAGCCGACAATGAGTGTGGCCTTCAGAAAGCACAGCAGGGGAGAGAGTGTGTCAGGGCCAAAGGGTGTGGGGTGAGAGGGCCCGGCCTGAGGGGCCTGGAGGGGGAGCGAGGGGTGGAAGTGGAGATGCTCCTGTAACCTGCCTCTCGTCTGCCCCAAGCTCGCAGGCAGGCCAGGTGCAGATGAACTCCCCAGATGTCCTGTACCCTCGGGCGGCGCCACCCCCGGTGGAGCACTATGTGCCCCGAAGCCTGGACCCCAACATGCCTGTCATCGTGAACACCTGCAGCCTCAGGGAGGAGGCTGAGTCCACAGAGGACAGGCACTTGGTGGCCGATGGTGAGATGTACCGGTACAGCGAGGACGAGGACTCGGAGGGCGAGGAGAAGAGCGATGGGGAGTTGGTGGTGCTCACAGACTGATCTCCTGGGCAAGACCTGGCCTCGAGCAGAGGGGCGCAGCCAGTCACCTGGACTCCGTTGGTACTTGGACTTGGGTGTGCCAGGAGATGGCATAGCTATATACTTGTAGATACAGGCCTCCTCCCCGTCACACCTGCAGGCACACCTGGGGAGCTGTTGACAGCAGTGGCCAGGGCCTGTGCATGGTGGTGATGGCTGAGCTGGCTGGGCTCCTTGGTTTTTGGGGCTCATGGCCAGGGGACACTGTATGACCCGCCCCTCCTGCAGGTCTACCCACCCTGGAGTATGGCAGCTCCAGACCTGTCTCCCTGGAGCCACACGCTTTGTTTGCATTCCTGTTCTGGCTGGACTAGCCACATGGGACCAACACTCCCCGAGCCCCCTCTACACACAATTGCTCCTGTCACCAGGATCACTTTGTACTTTGTGCAGAACGGTCTGGCTGTCCCTCGGTTTTTATCTTTGCAAAGCCTGCTGTGCCTCTGGCTGCTGTGTGTGTGTGCACACGTGTGTGTGCGCACGTGTGTGCGTGTCTCCATCTGTTAATTCATTGCATATTTATTGAGTGCCCACTATGTGCCAGGCACTGTTGCTGAGTTCCTGTGGGTGTGCCTCTTGATGCTACCCTTGCTTCCCTGGGGGCCTCTTTCTGTACTCTTTGTCCCCAAATTGCTACCTCTTTGTCAGTCTGGGTGTCTCAGGTTCTGTGCATCGTTATGTGTTTCTCTGTCCTTGTCTCTCTGCAGGATTCTGTACGTGTCGCTCTCCCTGCCTTGGTGTCTGACTCTGCCCCTCTGCCCACTGATCACCCTGGGTCTCTGAAGGCCCCTGGCCACCCTGACCTCCTCTGCCCTTCCCTTCCCTCCTTCTCTTGCTGGTGGGACTCCACAGAGCCATGTTTAGTTCGGAGCACCATGGGAATGTGTTCAGTCTCCAAGGTCTGTGCTGGTGACCCAGACCCTAGTCCAATGGAGGGCCAGGAGTGGGAGCAGGACCAGTGGTGCCCCTCCCCTTCCTGTCAGTGGCAGGAGCCCTGGGGAGCTGGGCTTCCCTGGCAGCTGGCCTCCATTCCTCCCTCCTGGGCAGGGGGTGGGAGGGGCTCTCCAGTGATGGAGAAAGACTCATGCTCCATCCCCTCCCACACAGCTCTGCCCTCACTCTGCCTGCCCCTCACCGGACACGGGGGGACTTGCCCCAGCTCCTGATCACTTTCACAAGTTATTTCCTTAAGAAAATTAAATCTCACTGGCATTCCTCCAAAGATCCAGGTGGGTCGGGGTAGGAAGAGAACCCTAAATCCCACAGGGGCAGATGTGGAGTCTGTGCCTACCCCCATCTTCTCCCCAAAGCCCGACTTCTCTCCAGGCTGTTTCTTTTTTTATGACTGTAAACATAGTGCTTTATTTTGTTAATAATAAGATAATGATGAGTAACTTAACCAGCACATTTCTCCTGTTTACACTCGGGGGATTTTTTGTTGTTGTTTTCTGTTGGTATAATAAAGGCAGACCATTTCAGAACCTGGCCCTTGCACCAGGGAGGGGAAAGGCAGGTTCAGGGTGTGATGGGGGTGAAATGTGCCACCAGCGCAGGAACCACCGCCCCCTGGTGGCAGCTGGAGGGAGCTCCAGGTGTGGGGCTGGGAGGGAGCATCTGAGGCAGGCTCCGCAGGCTCCGGAGGCTCTGGCGGCTCGGGCCCAAGGCCACCTCCCTCCCCAGCCCGGAGTGCACACTCTGAATGACCCACTGCCCTTGCCTCAAGGTGGAGAGCCAGAGCCAGACCTCACCACAGAGTGTCCACTAGGTCTAAGAAAGAAGGTAAACATGCTGTAATGAGTCAGGAAGCTTGGGTTCTCCCCAGAACTAGCCACATGGCCTTGTGTTTGTGTGTTGGGGGGAGGGTTGTCAGGACTCACCTTCAGGCCTCAATCTCATCATCCAAAACCAAGGAGGTTAAGCCTTATCCATAGTTCTTATTTTATTTTTTTAATGTTTTTATTGATTTTTTTTTTTTTTTTTTTTTTTTAGAGAGAGAGGAAGGGAGAGATAGAAGCATCGATGTGAGAGAGAAACATCAATTGGCTGCCTCCTGCACACCCCCACCAGGGATCGAGCCCCAAACCCAGGCATGTGCCCTGACCGGGAATTGAACTGGGACCTCTCAGTCCATGGGACATTGCTCAATCCACTGAGCCACACCAGCTGGGCCTCTTATCTTCTTTTAGAGGACCCTTCGAGGATCTAATGAAAGTCATGGACACTCCCGCATCCCAGAAAAGTGTGCACATGGACACCTCAAGCCCATATGAACTCCCCAGGATACTGATTAATGAACAGGGTCTCTAATGATGTGTTTCAGGGTTCCATCTGACCTTTGCTCTGAATGAGGATTTCAAGGAACTACATATCACACTAGGAGTAGTAACTCCGTAAGATCTGAAAGGGCTACATGATAGATTGAAACTCCCAAAATATATATTAACAGGGATCAATAAAAAACTAGCTCTTATTCAAAATTAATCCTGTTAATATGGAGCAGGGGCAGCAAAGCTGAATGGCAATTCTTGTGAAAGTTATATTTGGATTAGAGTAGTAGAAGCATGTGTTCTCAAAAAGGGAGGTGATGAACCACACAGGCCTGGTTTCAGGTGCATTATGGCACTCCTAGCTCCTCAGTAGGAAAGGCCACTGTCACTCTGGCCAGTTTGGCTCAGCAGTTAGAACATCAGCCCATGGTTCAATTCCCGGTCAAGGGCACATACCTGGGTGGTGAGTTTGATCCCTGGCCCTGGTCAACCAATTGTCTCCCTCACATTGATGTTTTCTTCCCTCCCTCCCTCCCTCTCTCCCTTCTACTCTGTTTAAAGATCAATGGGAAAAATACCCTTGGGTGAGGATTAACAAAAAGAAAAGGCCACTGTCACCCTGAAGGGGCCCAGAGGCAGGCACCCTGCACAGAAGAGGACTGGAGGGAGCCCAGTGGACAGTATTAGAGGCATGGTTGAAAGGACACTAAGGTAGGGCACAAAGGGTGAGACTACTGTCTTCAAAGCTGCCAGGTGGCCAGTGGTCTGCAGCTCATGGGGCGGAACTGGCCTCTTCATGCCTCTTAAAGGTCAACATGTTGGCTCCACATAACAAAAGATGTTTTGACAAAGATGTTCAAAGTGGTAGTGAACTTTCCAACACAGGAAGTATTCAAGCAGAGGCTCTGCAGGGGTTTCTACATTGCAGAGTTCTCTGGTGAGAGAACTTAGGTATGGTTGATGCCAGGGCCACACACTTGGGATTGAAGACTCCCCAACAATCGGGGGTTCCCGCCTTTTGATCTAGGGAACATCCTGGCTGCTAACCTTTAGTGGTTTTTCCCAGCCCAGCCTCCTAGAGCTTTGGAACGTCTCTCCCTGGCCCTCCCCACCCCATAGCCCAGGTCCCCCCGGCCTCCTGAGAAGATGCAGGCGGTCCTTGGGAAGAGAAGCATGGCTGACCGCAGCGCCTGCCCTCTAGTGGTCACGTGGGAGAGTTGCTCGGTTCACCTGCCCATCTCCCCCAGCACCCCAGTCCCCACCACCACTGTGTTCCGAACAAATGCAGGGAGGCCTGGTCAGGGCACTCCCAGTTGGGCTCACCTCCACTCCCTGCCAGCCCTCAGTTCCCCTTGCTTCCCTACTCCCAGGTCCTCGGTGGCCTCGGAGCCTGAGGCCAGTACTGCCCACACTGTCTACCTCCCACGCCAGGAATCCTTGTCCTGCCCTCCTCCCGGTAGCTGCTGAGACAGCCGCATACTCTGCGTGCTTTTACGACGGAAAAGCACTCCATGGGGACCTGAACCTGTGGTTGGTGCCCTGGAGCCCCACCCCCTGCCCAGGACAGCCAGGATGGGGGCAGTGGGTTGGTTGCAAGACCAGGAACACAGTGTGCTGATAATTACCAGGAAGGCCAGGCCACGAGCTCATTCTCTGCCCCCTCTGTGCCTCTCCTGCACAGGCCAAGGGTCAGAGCCCAGCGGGGTGAACCCCCGCCCACGCACGCTTTGCTGGTAGTGCCTGCTGAGGGTCTGAGAGGCCTGGGTGCTGCTAGGCTGGGTGATGGTGGGACTCCAAGGCCTTGTGGGGGAGGGGTGTGACTAAACTCTCACCCCCGTGTCCCCCGCGCTCTCCCCTGGAGAACTGAGGAATAAAGATGCTTTTTCAAGGTAGCAGGATGGTGTCTGCATGTCAGCTCCCTCGTGAATGTGGTGACCAGGGCCGGAGGGGCTAGGACGACACCTGGGGGCCCTCTACCAGCCATTCCCTGATCAAAACTGCAACACCCTCTCCAGCACTGACAGCCCAGGAGGATGGAGAGCCGCCTTCACAGCGGTCAGGCCTGCCCTCAGCTTGAGGCGGGTCTGAGGAACAAGGAAAGCGGGCACTGCCATTTGGTCCACAGGAAGGCCACACATGACCACCTGACCCCACAGAGAGCCCTCGGGGCCTGACCTGCCCGTCCCGGCACCATCCCTATGCCAGGCACACCTTTCCCCACCTTGTCCATGGGCACCCCTAGGCTCTGCTGCTGAGCCACACTGCGTCACCGTGACCTTGAAGGCTGGCAGGCACCGGCTCTAGCAGTTGCCATGGAACCTGGCACTTCTGCAGGCAAAAACCAAACAGCCAGAGTCCACCTGACAGGCAGCCAGTGCTGCCCCAAAGGGCACTGGGCGCCGCCGGGGTGGGGGCCTGGAGGCACTGCTGCTGGGTCCTGGGAGGGCAGCCTGAGCACCTGGGCTGCTGCGAGGGGCGCTCACCTTCGAGCTCCTGCCCGCCCTCCCTGCAGCCTTCTGAGAAGCCACAGACTGGTTCCAGGCACAGCAGCCCCTTCCCCAACCCCGACACTAGGACCCAGAGGGCCAAGGAATCAGCCCAGAGCACTTCCTTCTGTCTCACTGGTTCATCTGCAGGCGAGTTCTCAGATCCACAGCCTCGCTCCTCCCGGGCGGCACTCTCCCGGCCGACCCATGCCAGCAAGATGGTCCACAGAGGAAACCAGCAGCCCTGCCCAGGTCTACCCCAAACCAGGAGCCAGGGCAGCCAAGGGGGACCCCGGAGCAGGGCTGGAACGCCCTGGCCCCACCACAGGCATATCAATCACATCCTACAGTCAAAGCCTCATCCGTTGTACTTGGACACAGAGTGTTCCAGAAATGGCCATTTTAATGCAGAAAAATCAAGATAATTTACAAATGAATCACTTTGCGGCCCCGGGGGGCTGTGAGGGCAGAAAGGAGGTGGAGGCTGTTGAGAGTCAGAGACAATGATCTCAGCACCTTCAGACAGATCCTACCCAGCTCTCACATGCCAGGTAAGCCCTGGTCCCTGGCCCCTGCTCCTTGACTCCCACTGGTCAATCCCAAGTGGGTGGACATGGAGAGAGATCCTTGGAAGTGAGGCCTGGAAGGCCGGGGGAGGAAGAAAGCGTGCGGCCGCTGTCTCCTCCGGCCCAGCACAGCACAAAGCAGAGCCAGGCTCTGGACACAGGACATCACCACCCCCTTGCCTTCTCCCAGCAGAGGGCACAGGAGGAGAGCAGAGTCCTTGGACTGAGGTTTGGGAAGGGGCTAACTGATTGGATCTGGCTTGGAGAAAGGGATCTCAGATGAGGCAGTTGCTAGGGAGCTGTCAAACCCAATTCTAGGACCCCCCACCCCCCGAAGATAGGTACATCCATCTGTCAGAGTTGGCGTGGTCCTAGTTTGGGCTAAACACCTCCCATAGGGGGCCCATGGGGAGATGGGCTGGAGGCTCAGGGCACTAGAGGTAGAAAGGAGCCCTCCCACCTTCCCCCTTCCTAAGCCAGGAAGGTCAAACTTGTCTAAGGCAGCCCCGACTGATTGCAGCCTGGCCTAGGGCTGAGAATGCTGGGCTTCCCAGGGGTGGTGTGGTCTGAGCTCTGGCTGACTGCAAGTCTGGTCCAGTAAAGAGGACCCCTAGAGCTAGGCCCATCAGCCCCTCTAAACAAGACAATGTGGTCACAGCAGCACCTACTGGGGGCTGGCAGAGTCATCTCCCTGGATACCCACCTGTCCCCTCTCCCACCTTGTCCAAGGGTAGAGACAGACCCCAGAGCAGAACCGAGCCCCGGAGAACCAGCCTGCCAGGCAGATGGAGAGGGGACGGAGGGAGGGGGAAGCTGGTCACTTTGGCATCTCCAAGGCAGACACTTGAGGCTTCACCTTGAAGTACTGGTTGAATCGGATCACCGCGTACCTGCCAGAAGATAGGGAAGGAGCTGGGGTGAGAAGGGAGGCCATGCTGGGGGACTCCCCGAAAGCAGCTTCTCCCCAGCTCAGCCCACCCAGGTCTGTGCAGGTCAACTGCAGCCCAGGCTGATTTTCTTTTCCACTTCAACTCTAAGTTTACTTTTCTCCTTAGAGCAGACTAAACCAACCTTTCCCCAAACAAGGTCAGTTTTTGATTGTTTACAGTTCAGTCAAGTATACTCTAGGACTTTTTCATTTTGCAAAACTGAAACTCTGTCCGCCTTAAACAGCAACTCTCCATTTCCCCTCCCCCAGCTCCGGGCACCACCACCACTCTCTAAGACTTACACTAATCCGACACCTCATCTAAGTGGAATCTTACAGCTTCTGTCTTTTTGTAACTGGCTTATTTCATTTAGTACTGTGTTCTCAGGTTCAGCCACAGTGTAGCATGTGACACGGTTTCCTTCCTCTCTAAGGCTCAGTAATATCCCACTGTATGTACAGACCACATTCTGTGGGCACCTGGGTTGCTTCCACCTCTGGCTATTGGGAATAAGGTTGCCATGAACATGGAGGTAGAGGTATCTCTCTGGGACCCTGCTTTCCATTCTTTTAGCTCTATGCCGGCAGCGAGGTGGCTGATCTTTTCTGAGGAAGCACAGTGTCCCCACAGCAGCGGCACCGACAGCACCAGGTTGTCCATGCCAACCCTTGCTCCTTCCTCTTCCCGTGACAGTAGCTACCCTAACGGGTGTGAGGTGATCCTGTCTCACTGTGCTATTGACCTGCATTTCTCTAATGGCTGCGGACACTTGGAAGCCAGGGTAGTGATTCCTTTTTGGCTGAGGGAGGAGACGGGTGAGGAGACTGGACCAGAATGAAGAACAAAATGATTGCTGGCTCTGAGGGACATATGGACCACACAGGAAGGGCCCCCTCCTGCCCAGGAGTCAGCATTCAAGGTCAGTGTCGGCCAGCCTGCATCACGGGCCACTGGAGTTGGTTGGGTCTGACCCCCCGCACGGTAAGCACGGCCACCGAGGGACCTCGGTGAGTCACGTCCACTCGGCACGCTGACCCCTCTGCTATAAAATGATGGCTGGCTCATGATCTTTCAGACTGACTGGGGACAGCCCCTGCACCGCAGGCCTGTGGAGAAGGGCCCGAGTTGCAGGAGGGCGTCAGGAAAGTGTAACCTCCCACCAGGCAGGCAGGGTGGGCGGGAGAACTGCAGCCCCTCCGACGGCTGCTCTGGGCGCCTGGCCTCCCCTGGGCCGGTGACCCCTCGGCCAGGGCGGGCTGGCAGGGAACACGCTGCAGGGGAGTGGGCTGGGTGTCCCCTTTGGGCTGTGCTTTGCCCCACACCCGCAGTCTTCCTCGCCTGCCGCACGCTGTCCTCCGGGCTCACCTGAGGAAATCGAAGTCGATGGTGGAGAACTGGTTCTGGATGAGGGCCCAGAGGGCCCAGAAGAAGTGAGAAGCCTGGAAGCAGAGCAGAGAGGGTCAGCACGGCGCCCCCCGAGCCTGTGACTGGCCCCCCGGAGCTGGAGGGACAGTCGCTCTGGAAAGGACTGGGTCACTGGCAGCCACGGTGGGGTCTCCCCAGCACAGGCCGGGGAAATTCAGGAGGTCAAGTCACTGTACAGTACTTGGGGACCCCACTCCCTCTGGAAAAAGGCGAGCAGAGTTAGTCCACACACCCCGGTAGGGGGTCAGCAGGATGGTGTTCCCAGCCCAGGCAGACCGGGACCCCTGGCCTGTCCTGTAAAAGGCATCTCCTCAAGTGTCCAAGGCCAACGTATCCAGGGCGAGGTGAACCTCTCCGCCAGCACTCAGGCCACAGGCCAGTGGAGGGGCTGGCACCCCTCAGCAGTGTCCTGCCACATGGCCATCAGGGGTCTGGGCTGCCAGAAGACCCCCTCCCGTGATCTTTCCCTATATTCTGTCAGGAGGTGGGTCGGCTGGAAATGAGTAGATGTGGGAACAAGAAGCCAGAATCCGGGCACTAAGCTTTCAACTGTTTTCCCCACAGCCAGAGGCACCCGTTAGGCTGACGTGGCCAAGACTGGTTAGCAATTCCGAGGTCACCCCGGTGCAAGAAGCTAGAAAGCCGTGCTTCCTGCTGCCCCCGAACAAACAGCAGTGACGCCAGTACTTTCCCTGCCTGGAGTCCCGCACCCACCTCTAGTCCTGCTTGCTCTGGGACTGACTCTACAGTGCCTCTCCACTTTCCGCCCTTTCCCGGACTTAAAGGGGCACAGGTCAATGCAAGGATGAATGGTGACTAAGATGTAGCGAGAGAAAGGCACCGGCTGGAACAGTGAGGAGGAAGAACGTGAAGGAGAATCAGCTTCGTGCTGGGAGAAAGAACAGGCCATCACAGCCCCAAGCAAGCTAAGGTTTTACTTCAGCTCTGTGATGGATCGTGAACTTATCTCCTTGTTTACGCATGGCTGACAGTACTAAGACTGGTTAGCAGTTCCCTGAGCACACCAAGGGAGCTGGGCATGAACCATGTTCAAGTCCAGAGCTGACAGCACAGGAACGAGCAGAAAGAGCCTGATGGGAAAGGCTTACCAAGAGTTCCGAGTCATGCTGGGTGTGGCTCAGTGGACTGAGCGTCGTCCCATGAACTGAGAGGTCCCGGTTCAACTCCCGGTCAGGGCACATACCTGGGTTGCCAACTCGATCCCCAGTATGGGGTGTGCAGGAGGCAACCAGTTGAAGTTTCTCTCTCGCTCCGATGTTTCTATCTCTCTCTATAAAATCAATAAAAACATATTTAAAAAACAAAACAGCCCTGGCTGGTTTGCTAAGTGGTTAGAGCGCTGGCCCGTGGACCAATGAGTCATAGGTTTGATTCTGGTCAAGGGCGTGTACCTCGGTTGAGGTTCATCTCAGGTCAGGGTCTTGCAGGAGGCAACCAGTTGATGTGTCCCTCTCACATCGATGTTTCTTCTCTCTCCCTCCCTCCTATTCTATCTGAAGATAAATAGAAAAATATCCTCGGGTGAGGATTAAAATATATTAATTAATTAAAATTAAAAAAATAATAAAAAACAAAACAAAACAAAAAACACACAGAGTTCTGAGCCAGCAGAGGACCTTAACAAGGCGATCAGAGCTGTAATTCTCTATCTCCTCCAAAGTCTAAAGGAAAGAGGGGGTGTGTTTAACAGCAGCAGGAAAGACTAAGGTTAGACACCAGAAACAACTACAGGTCCAACTGAGAGAACTACTAAAAAAGGAAGCTGAGATCTTTCCTGGAAGTAGTTGTCTAGGAAGGAGAGAACTTAGACTGGATGGTGGGGAAGCAGGAAACAGGGCATCTTGGTATTACGGGGCTGCTCCAGATGGCTCTTCCCAGACTTCACCTCTGGGCGGGGTTCAGGAGCACATGGCGGGGTTCCCAGGACCTCGCACCTGACCCTGGGCCCCGCTTCCCCTCCACCACAAGGCTGGCAGAGGTAGGAGCTGGGGATGGGGCACCAGCACTCACCAGGGCAAACTTGTTGACTTGCACATAGAGCCTCTCCACCTCCCTGGAGGTCACGGCCATCCCCTTCTGCGCCTGCAGGTAGTAGCGCAGCCACTGCAGCTGGGTCTCCCTTGCAGGGTACCGGCAGTAATCGACTTCGTTCACACCTGACGGGGAGGCAGCAGCACAGAAGTTGCTGGGAGATGGCCCACCGGGAGGCCTCCTCCAGCTCAGGGGTTCCCTGCTTCACGGCAAAGCTCCATCTTCTCTGCCCTGTGGCTGTGCCTGGGAAGGCAGCTGTCTGATCACCTAGAATGTGCCAAGGGTCGAGTCCCACCCCAGCTGGAGGCACTGGGAGAAGCAGACTGGCCGAGGGGCAAGGGAAGTCCTGAGAGTGATGGGGACCCCCCCGCACCCTATATAAATCTGTGTCACACAGGAAGCACTGGGGCCCAGCACGGAATCTGGGCTTGGTTGTCTCAGGTCCAACGCTGACCCCCAGTCAACCTCGGACAAGCCCTTTCCTCTCACCGGCCCGAACCTCCACTGTGTCCTCTGATAAAATGGGGCTCTGTGTGTCTCAAACACTGCTTCCTGGGCCAGTGTTGAGCCGGCTACTTAAAAAATCACCTGGCCCTGGCCGGTTTGGCTCAGCGGTTAAAGCGTCGGCCTGCGGTCCGGAGAGACCCGGGTTCGGTTCCTGCTAAGGGCATGGACCTCGGTTGCAGTTTGTCCCCGGCCCTGGTCGGTCATGCAGGTGGCAGCCACTCGATGTGTTCCTTTCACGTCGATGTTTCTCTCTCTCTCTCTCTTCCTCTCTCTCCCTCCCACTCTATCTGTGCAAAAATTGGAAAAATGTCCTCGGGTGAGGATAAAAAAAAAAAAAAAATCACCTGGAGCCCTGGCCGGTTTGTTCAGTGGTTAGCGCGTTGGCCCACAGACCAAAGAGTTGTGGATTCGTTCCAGTCAAGGGCCCGGACCTGGGTTGCGGTTGGTCCCTGGCCTGATTGGGGTCATGAAGGAGGTGACCAATCAATGTGTCTCTCTCACATCAATGTTTCTCTCTCTCTTTCTCTCCCTGCCTCCCTCCCACTCGATCTGAAGATAAATGGAAAAATATCCTTGGGTGAAGATTTAAAAAAAAAAAATCACCTGGAGAGTGTTAACAACATAGATTCCAAGGCACCCCGCCCCCAACCCAACTCCCCAGATGACGGAAATACAGCCAGGTTGGGGATCCCTGGATGAGATGGCCTCCATCCCTTCTAGCCCCGCCCTTCCTTCAGTCCTCAAGCTGCCAGTCCAACAGGCACCAGCCACACGCTGGGCACAGTGGCAGAGGCCTCGGCTTTAGAGGGGTTCAGAAATCTAGGACCGGACCGCCTTCCCCGGTCGCTTCCTCCCTCCTTCCCAAGCTTCCCTTGTATTTCTGGAGAAACAGACTCAGTCTCCTCGGGCCCCAAGAGTATAGCTAGAAAGAGTCTCCTGTGTAGATGCAGAAACTAAGGCCCCAAGAGAAGAAATTTGCTCGAGGTCCTGAAACCAGTTAGAGGTGGGTTCAGGGTCGGAACTCTTATCTCCCAGCTCCCAGGAACAGGATTCCTCGTTCCCAAGAACCCTGGAGGGCCCTCTCCCTAGCGCCCAATCTCTCCCCTTGCCCCTCCCCCTCCCATGCTCAGTTCTGCTTCTTCATTCTCGACCCAGGAGCAGGATGCAACCTGCCCCTTTGGAGACAGTCCAGCTGGACTTTGCTCTGTGTGGTGGGTGAGAAGGACTTAAAACGCGTAAGAATGATCCCTTCTGGAAAGGGTAGTGGGGCTGGCAGCTGAGCACGCACAGGCCCAGCGCCCTGCTGATGCCAGCCCAGCTCTGTGCTGCCCCCACAGTTCAGCTGCTCCGCCCCACGGAGGCCCCGCGGTCCCTCCGGTTTCTAAATGCAGCGGGTGGCCGCCATGGGAGGCATACCCTCAGGTATCCTTAGCATGTGACAGACCCGGTCACAGGTTCCAGAAGGGTCCTGATTGGCCTAGACTGGCCTAGGGAATGGCTGAGGCTGAGCCAGGTGGTGGCTCCAGTGGCCTCCCTTGTCCTAACCCTCAGGGGCCAGCACACCATGCTGAGCATCTCACACCGCATGCGATCCCACCACGGCCTCTGGGGGTGCTCTCCAACCCCAGGGTCTGGGGGCTAGCTTTTTCAGACCTAGCTCGTTGTTTTCAACAATGAAGCCCTCACACTGGAAAAACCCACCCTGTCTCCTTTACACAAGTGACTCTATTGTACACGTGGTGCCTTTTTTATCTGCTGTCCACTCCTGGGAAACACTTCCCTCACTCTGCCTCTTCCAGCCCTGCTCCAGTCTCCCGAGCTGCAGGGAAGCCTCCCTTCCTAACCTCAGCAGCAAACACAAACAGATGCTTAGTGGGCGCCACACTTGTGTGCACATCTCATACCACGGCTGTGAAGTGGGTACTATTGTTATCTCCATGGTACAGAAGCATGGGGAAGGTAAGAGTCAGACAGCTGGTGAGCAACAGCGCCAGGCGTCCAAGCTGAGGCGCCACGCTGCGGAGGGCGCACTCTGAGCCAGTCCCGCCCACATTGTCTTCACGATGCCACTAGTCAAGTAGCTACTTACAGCTTGTTCTGCTCCTCACCTGCATGCCGGGCCCTTCCTTACAGCTGTGCAGGTTGTACTGGGCATGAAGGAGCTTGGGCAAGGGGGTGAGTGGAGGCTGAGGCTGTCCTGTGCTGCCCCAGCTGGCGTGGGCTGCATGTACCCCAAGGAAGGGGTCTTTTTCTAACTCACATGCCAAGCCAAGTAGCCTCAGGGATCTGCCGTGGGCACGTCTTCCTGATTTGCATCAAACTGCCGGATTGGCCAGCAGGGGTGTGCTCTGTGTAGGTTGGGTCCTGCCTCCCCCAGAAGACTTGGAGCTCTAGAGACAGGCTATGTCTCTGCCCCACCCTCAAGCTGGGATACTCAGCCGCCAACCCCCAAGGACAGAAGCCCCTCTCATCCTCTCCCTGGACACAGCCATCATCATAAGGAAGGAGTCGTGGACACCGGTCATGTCGTGATGCCCTCTCACCTGCAAACTCATTGAAATGGTTGCCAATGTCAAAAGCCTGGTAGTTGTAGCCGGCATATTCATAGTCGATGAACCGTACGTGACCTGTGAGGCAGAGGAGAAGCAATGAGGTGGGCCCCAGGAGACCTGGACAAGCCTGGTCAAGCTCCCACCGACCTCCGGAATTCACCCACTGCCTCTGGCCGGCGTCTGCAGCAACATTCGTCTAAGCTGCTTCCTTCTGTCTGTCCCTTTGTCCACCTGCCCTTCCTCCAGCTCCCACTGCCCCTCTCACATAGCTGGATTCTTGGGCTCTCCCCATGTAACGACATCTGCCCTCGGCATGGCTGAGGACCAGAAATAAAGCCAAGGGTTCCCTGGGTGAAGCTCTCATCAGGGCCATGGAGCAGCGGAGAAGGTCTTGGAATCCCAAAACGTGGTCAGGGAGAACAGCCCGGGTGCCCTGACGTTGAAGACCTCCACAAACCCTGCCGTGTTCTTTCTGGGCATAGGTTTTTCTAAGTGGGAATTTGTTTCCTTTTCCATTTCTCTCCTACAAAGTAACTTAAGAGCTAACCCAGAAGGTCGCCTTTTGCTTGTCCAAGTACCAGCCTCAGGAACAGAACCCTACTGGCCAGCCAGGGCCAAAGAAGCCGTACCTTTGGTGCTGTCATAGATGATATTCTTGCAGAGCAGGTCGTTGTGACAAAACACCACAGGGGAGTCCAACTGGGACAGGTGCTCCTTCAGCCAAGCGAGCTCCTGTTCCAACACCTCTGTCTTCGGGACATCTGCAGAAAGGCTGAACAGGGCAGAGAAAGGTGGCCAGTGGGGAGGGTTAACAGTAGACAGGCAGGCGCTTGGCTTCAAAAGCCCTGAGCTCTGGCCTCCTCACGACCTCTTACTGCAGAGGGACGCTGTCATCTGCAAAACGGCACGAGGGCTTCCTGTCCTGCTGATGCCCCATGGTTACTCGAAGAAGCTGATGAAAACACTGGCTTAAAAGCATTTTGCAAAGCACCAAAATCCCCGATGGAACGGTGTCCCTGCTATTTCGTGAAAGGGACAGGAAGGTAAGGAAGGAGGCCCAAGAGAGGATGGGGAGGTGAGTGTCCAGACTCACTTATCTCAGACGAAGAGAACAAGGGCAGTAGGGCAGAGATGCAAACAGACCTCTCGTAGGATGTAGGAAAATTCCTGGGGGAAGGAGATGCTCTCTGAAACAACCCTCTGCGAAGGCCCCGAGGGGAGGAATCACAGTGCCCTGGGGAGGGGCCGGGGTGCTGGCGCCTCCCTCATGCTCCGGCAGCTGGTGTCACAGAGACAGCAGACAGTCATACCCCAGGCAGGCCGCGCAGGCTCCCATAAGAAAGCAGAGAAGCTGCTTCTTGGTCTCAGTCCTGCAAGGCCAAGGGGACCCTGGGGCCATCCAACGGGAAAGCACTTGCTGTGCAGCTCCCCAAGACCTTGCCCGTTCCAACCTGAACTCGGAGGGTGAGTTTCCTTGTCTCAGACGCCGTCAGACTGGGTGTGGGCCACTCGAGGGCACACACAAAGGTGCATGGAGGCCACTCTGCTCCTCCCCATCCCACAGCACACCCAGGCTTCAGGACTGAACGAAGTACGCGCAGACGAACGAATGAATGGGCCCGTCAGAGGCCACGGGAAGCTGAGGAGGGTGCACACACACGAGCTCTACACTGCGGTCCCCGGGAAGCGTGGTCTGTGTACACTCAAAAGCCAAAACGTCCGCAGAGCCCTGACCACCCAGAACCACCAATGGGAGAGGGGAGGGGACCGGTGTTTGAGCTCCACTCGTGTGTCCTGTTTGCTCTCTCACTCAGGACAGTGGGAGCATATGCAGCGGGGGGAGGAGAGAGGTCCTCCCGATGCTCCCACAGGATGGCCCCCCCATGCCCCCCAGGCCAGGGCCAGAGCATGCAGATGAGACTAAGGTGTCCCCATGTACCTCCAGAAGAGGACAGACTCCCTCACCCTCCAAGCTAAAGAGGATCTTAGGTCTCTAAACCAACCCCACGGAGAAACTGCGGCTCAAGAAAGGGCAGTCTTCCTGTGAGCGTCCAGGTCTCTTGCCCAGCTAGACCCTCTAGCTCCTCACTAAGGAAAGCGGTCCTCAGCCCGTCCAAGCACCTGAACTCAAGCTAGGCCTCTTAACCCTGAGGGCCCTGGCATCACCCAGAGGCTCTGCAAGGCCCCTCGGAGTCCGGGCATCGGTCAGGGGTGCCCTGGGGGAGGCCTCCCATGCCCCGCCCCACCCCCTCACTGGGGGCTATCTGCATCACCAGGCTGCACAGGGTGCGATTCCCACTTGGCTCTCTTTCAGAAGCTACCTCTTCTTTTAAGATTCTGTTTTTTCTTGCACAGAGACCATCCAAAGATAAAAGTTAGGAGGCTGCCTTTGGTTTGCCCAGATCTCAGCTTGGAAAACATGGCTTTGACATCCAAGACGCCTGCTGCCCAGGCCCTGACCTCTGTCTGACCCCACACTACAGCCCAAGGCCATGCAGATGGTTACTGTGGGAACGGTGCGGGCCTTCTCCCTCCCTCCCCCAGCACCTGAACCACCGCCAGCCAGCAGCTTCCTCCAGCCCTGACACCACCATCCTCTCCCAAGGCTGTGGGGTGGGCCGAACGGGATCTCAGAAACTGACACAGCAGCAGAGGCCGCACAGCAGGGTGAAGGGGCCCGGGGCTCCTCCCGAGGAAGAGGCTGATACCCGGCAAGCGTCCAGGCAGCTCTCGGGATCAGAGCAGGGGAAGGGCCGATTCCCGTGTTCAAGCTTCCATCACCTCTGCCCTCACACCACTCAGCCTGTCTGAGTCTCCTCTGGGTGGCCCCCATGCCGTTCTCAACCCCACATCCGCCCGGTCACCCTGGACACGCCACGCCTGCCCAAACGCCTGGGCTACCTCATCTATTTCCACAAGGTCTGCCTCAGCCCCTCGCTGCCCCCCATGAAGCTGCCTAGGGCAGTGTTCCTCCAAAAGCAGTTCCTGGATCCCCTGCCTCGAATCACCAGGGGAGTCTCTGAAATGCAGGCTCCTAGGGTCCCATGGACCTCCCATCACTCCCCAAGGTCAGACTGGGAACCTGCACTTGGCAAGCACCCAGGGGAATCTCATGCTCAGGTCTGGGGAACCCTAGTGCTAGATGTTCCCCATTCGGTTTCAACCCTGCTCCAGCAGGTCCCTGAGTCCCTGCGCCCCCTAACTCCCAATCTCTACCGCCATCCCTGGCAGTTACTAACCTGAGTCCCCGGCTCAAACACCTTCAAATTACTTTCCACTGCTGCTGAACTGGATCTTTGTTCCTTCACCTGACATGGGAAGGCCCCTCACAATCCAGTTCCAACTCACACGATGTCTGTAGCTCTCTCAAGCCTCCTCCCCATCCCACCTGAAGATGCGCTCCAGCCAACTCCTCCGCTCATTCACAGGAAGCAAGGAAGCGTGCTCAGCCGCCACCTCCAGCCAGTGCCTCCCTGCCCATCTCTGCCAAGGAGCCGTCCTGAGCTCCCACCCTGGCCTGCAGCACACACCCTTCTTCCAGAGGTGTGCATGGGCAGGTCCTTTTTACCCAGAGGCTTCCCATGCTCCCTGTGGGCAGGGCCAATGTTGCCGCTACATTTTTTATTGTTTTAAATCCCAATCAATCAGTGTTTGTGACATGCAGGATTGACTAAATCAGGGTGACTAGGCAAGTTATTAGGATTATTCCAGAACTCAGGTGCTTCGTCTCCTCCAGCTGATTGCTCAGCCCAGCCTGCTCTGGGGCTGAGCAGAGTGCAGGGCAGGCCTCATCCCCTAAAGAGGCTCAAAAAGTTAAGCAACGAGAAGCACCCAAGGTCAAAAGTGTGACAAGAACAAGGGGAGTTGATCAGCTCTTCTCCAGAGATGACTCCCGGCCCAACAAGGTCATCCCCTCCCGCAAAGGGGACACAGTGACTGCAGAATCAGAGGAAGCTGCCGTCGCCTGAGCATCAGGCCCGGACTGTAGCCCTTGAGCTGCCACTGATAGCAATGACCCTGGGGAAGTCCCATCCCCGCCCTGGTCTCAGTTTCTTAATCTGTCCAATGGAAGTGGTGGGCTGGGGGGTCTGAGGGTCCTGCTGGCAGAGATCCCTCCCAGAGGACCCTGCTCTGGGTGCTGTTCTTGTCTCAGAGATAACACGTGACATAGGTCTACACACGGTCCATGCTGGACAAACAGTCCCAAGCACTGTTTGATAATCCTTAAGTGGGAGGGTCCAGAAAAAGTCATCATGTGTGCAAGAATGTGACAGAGATACGTGATTGGGAGAGTCTATTACTGTCCTGTCATCTTCAAGGAGGGAAGAAGATACCCTGCCCCCAAACCTGTGTACCCCATGAACATCTGGAAAAAGGGTGTTCAAGCCTTTGGGGGAAGGGCCAGGGTGACACCACTCTCTCTTCTTTACCCCCATTGTCTCAACTCTCAGGGGTATGCTGGTGAGGCAGGTGTCGGAGGCTAGAAGGACTCTCAGGTGGCTGGCCTGAGGTGACTCTAGGGGTCAGTTCTGGGAACCCTGCCTTATCCGGGGAAAGGCGATGTCAGGATGGATGCAAAGAGCAGAGAGGAAACAGTAAGCTGTCAGTCTGAACAAGGCAGAAAACAGGGTCCCAGGGGCAGATAGGGGTGAGAAGCATCCAGACAAGTAGCAGGAGTCTTGATGTCCCAAGGTCTTGTCAGTGGATGAGCTGACTTCTGTATTTTTTTTTTTTTAAATTTCAGAAAGAGTAAGGGAGAGGGAGAGATGAGAGAGAAACATGGATCTGTTGCCTTTCGTATGCATATGCTCTGCCTGGGAATCGAACTGGCGACCTCCTGGTGCATGGGATGATGCTCAAGCAACTGAGCCACACCTACTGGGCAGAGCTGACTTCTGACTGACTGTAACTTAACCTCAACCCATTCTCAGAGGCCTGGGCCCTCCCTCCTCGTGGCCAGAAGGCAGATCAGGTAGACAGGGCCCTGGGCCAGGAAAAGAAGCCCAGTAGCTGACTACCTCCTGCCACTGGGCAAAGCTTGGTCTCTGAGCCTCAGTCCCCTTTAAGTGAAATGGGGAGATACTGTCCCCGACCCTGACGAAACCAGCAGACTCAAGAAGAAAGAAGCAGCCCTGACTGCTGTTGCTCAGTGATTAGAGCATTGGCCCATGCACCAAAGGGTCATGGGTCTGCTTCCCAGTCGGGGCACATACCCGGGTTGCAGGTTTGATCTCCAGTCAGGGTGCATGCAGGAGGCAGCTGATCAATGTTTCTCTCACCCTCTTTCCCTCGCCCTTTCGCTCACTCTAGAATCAATGAAAAAAAAAAAAAAGACCATATCCTTGGGGGCAAATTTAAAAATGATAATAAGCACAGGGGTCTAAAACCGTGCATCTAAGTTCCTCAGATTTCTCAACTGGCCCAACTCTTCCTGGAGACAGAGGCTCAGCAAGCGGGACTGGAGTCACTAAGCCTCCCGGGGGTGGGGTGCAGCACAAGAACGGGGAGCAGGGTCACGTGACGGCAGCAGAAACAGTGGCAGCCGTGAGCCCTCCCAGGTCTTTGTACCTGGGGCTGATCTCGTTCTTCACAAGCGTGAAGTAGGTGTGCATCTTGTGCCAGAGGGTGGGCTTGGGCAGGCTGCCGTTGGTGTGGATGGTGTGAATCTTTGCCATTTCCAAGGCGATGAGCCTACAGCAAAAAGCAAGAATGCAGAGTATCAGCCCCTCCTGACCAGCAAGGGGCCCTGCACTGCCCAGGAAGGGCTAGCCAGAGGGCAGAGCGTGGGACTATTACAGATCTTTCCAGAGCTCTCTGCCTCAGCAGAAGGCATGGAAAGGAGTTATGGCCTTTATTTAGCCTAGCAGCTCCTTTTCCAGAACCAGAGCTGGGCTGCTTCGGGTAGCAGAAGGGCAAAGCAGGGGCTACTGGCCACAGGTCAGTGACCCTGCCCCACCCCAAAGTCATGTACGCACAGCAACCCGAGGACAAGGGTCACTGGGCAATGGAGGCAGAGCCACTCTTCCCCCCCTTGGACTCTGACCCACGCCCTCAGGGGGAGGTGAATGCAGGGCACCAGGGGATCAGGAGGTGGTAATGCCAGGCAGGGAGAAATGCCCACCTCTTATCAGCCTAGCCAAGGTGGGGAGGGAAGCAGGCAGGCTCAGGGCAGCCCCTTCCTCTGTGGCAGGGAGTTGATGCTGGCGGCTGGGTGCCAAGGACGCAAAACAAACCAGTGTTCTATTTTCAAGTTCTCCTGTGGACATTATCCAAGGTCCCAGGAGAGAAGGAGGGGCGGTGGGGAGAGGAGAAAGCAGCTTAGGGGAAGGCTGCTGTGAGAGGGTGGAGGTGGATGGAGGACGGACCAGCCAGGGGGAGGGCCTTGATAAGGACCCCGGAGTCTGAGGCCCTGTGTCCCAGCTGGGCTCACCCAGGCCTCTGCCAGCGCTCCCTCTGGAGCCCCCAGCCCCCAGCTGCTGTCAAGCCTCCAACATTTGAGTTTGCTTTACCTCTGCCTGTTGCTCGAATAATAATCACTCGGATAGACAACAAAGGCATTGCATTGGCTGTTTGAAACCTTGTTGCAGAGCTTCTCCAGGGACACCCTATCCCCTTGTCAGCTCCTGGAAGGGGTAGGCCATCGCCCAGCAGGATAGCAAGGCACACTGGGGGCTCCTCTGGAAGCCCCCAAGGCTCCACCTCCTAAGGGTGGAGGGGACAAGGGGTATGGCAGCAACTGGGGGCGGGGTGAGATGGAGGCTGTGCTTTCAGAGCCCAGAGGCCCTGGAATAGGAGGGAGCCCCTACAGGGTTTGGGCAAGGCAGGAAACAGACCTGAGAGCCCGGCCTGGCCTTCCCAAAGGAAGATTCGGAATAGAGCACGAACAGAGTGTTTCCTTGAATATTAATAGGGATGTTGTCTGGAATAGCAATGAAAGTTAACCTCAGCACTCAGCAATTTTATGCTGTGAAGCCTCAACAGGAGGAGGCTGGGAGGTGGGATTCAGGGCACATGGGGCTCCCAAAGGCCTCCCCTTCTCCCCACCTCACCTTCTCTCAAAGATCCACCTTTACCCCATGAAGATAATGGTCTATCCTATGGAAAGTATCAAGGAAGGGCTACCTCCTACACTTAGCCCAATTTCTGCCCCCCCCCCCCCCGTAAAGTTCTTATTATTGAACCTAAATCTACCTTCAATCTTCCTGACAATGGTAACTGTTTTCACGACAGGACAGCATCAGACTCATAGGGGTGACAGAGACTAGGAGTACTGAGGACCTGCCAATATCTGAGCTTATTTGCACAAGAGCTGGGAGGAGTTGGTGGGAGAAGCCAGAACAGGGCTCCTCCGCCCCTCACCCCGCTCAGCCCTCACCTCTCTGGCTGGTGCGTATGGAGCTGCTCAGCTGGGAGCCTGAGGCGCCCCTCACACAGGTTTGTATACCCCCACCCCCAGACACAAACACACGCTACAATATCCAACTCAACAGAATGTCCCGGGGCCTCAGAGCAGTGTTCAGGAGCACTGGGGGTGGAGGTGAGACTCCTAGATTCCCTCCTTCTAAGTCCATAGAGGGCCTGATGGGGATCCCTGCAACAGGGCCAGGTACACTAACTTGAGGTTAATCAAAACCCCTGCAACAGGGCCAGGTACACTAACTTGAGGTTAACCAAACCTCCTGAAACAGGACCAGGTAAACTCACTTGAGGTTAATCAAACCCCCTGCAACAGGGCCAGGTAAACTCACTTGAGGTTAATCAAACCCCCTGCAACAGGGCCAGGTACACTAACTTGAGGTTAATCAAACCCCCTGCAACAGGGCCAGGTACACTAACTTGAGGTTAATCAAACCCCCTGAAACAGGGCCAGGTAAACTCACTTGAGGTTAATCAAACCCCCTGAAACAGGGCCAGGTACACTAACTTGAGGTTAATCAAACCCCCTGCAAACAGGGCCAGGTAAACTCACTTGGGGTTAACTGTAGCAGGTGAGGGAGCAAAGAAGCTGCTTGGTTCTCCCTAGGTGGGCTTTGTAGTTGCCCCTCAGAATTTGGAAGACTCCTTCCCTGTGCTTGGGACAGGACAGAGCCCAAGAGTCCTGGGCAGACCTCTGTAACACTGTCCCCAGTGTCAGGAGTAAATCTTAGCCCATCTAGGGACTCACTCTAGTCTGAGTGCCCTGCACATAGGGAGCAATGGAGGGAGGAAGGGGGACCCTGCCTGACCTCCCTGGGCAGCAGTCAGAGGAGAGTGCATCATGGGCCTCTTTGGTTCTCCCCCTTCCAGGCCCCACAGCCCCAGTATACACTGGGCTTGAAGGTCCTACACATCCAGGCCTTTCACAGAAGTGGTTCCCCGGAGAACATGGGTTCTGTGAACCTCTGGAAGCCTCGGCAGCTCCCCAAACCTGGACTCCCACGTTGTCCGGAAACCTGGAGGGAGCTCCTACTGGGGGAGGGATAGCATCTCTGGGCTACTAAAACCAGGCTCACCCTGACAGGGCCATTTTCCTAGCATGCCTGAGCTCTTGGCTGGAGAGGAGGGGCAAACATCCTTGACTGCTCTGGGGCTTTGGCTCAGATTTCATTTCCAAGGCTCAGAGATGTTTCCATGGATCTAGAAGGGGATCCCTGCTGTATCTAGGGAGCCGGATGCTCTGGTCCCATGTTCATCAAAGCTCTCATGGGCCTCCCTCAAGAACTCGTTCTTCCAGCAGACTGGAAGAATAGATTTATATAGATTGAAAATCTATGTAAAGCTACAGCCTCGCTTTGCGTAGCAATGCACATACACACACCCCCATTTTTCATGCAATTTCACGGAGTTCACAGATCTTACGCGTCATTCATGGACTCCACTCTACACCATGGAAGCTGGCCAAGGAATTCAAAGCCCAAGGCCTGAGAAATCGTGGAGATGAATAGTGCCCTGGGCACCGTCCTCACCTGAAGAGTCGGGGCTCACGGATGTGCTCAGGCCCCAGGGCCATGCCCTGCATGTACTCATAGCACAGCCCATTCTGGAAGGTGCAGTAGAGTTTGGGGGCACAGCCGTGTGCTCGCAGCAGCTGGAAGTTTCTGACCTCGTTCTCCCGGTCTACCAGCAACTCCGTCCGCTCCCCGTACACCCGGACCAGCACACAGTCCCGCATGTCCTCCTCCACGTAGCAAGCCACCAGCTTGTTGGTGATGCCATCAGTGAAGCGCTAGCATGGGGAGAGGGCAGCACAGGGTGCGTGGGGTAGGATCTCTGCTCTTGCCCCATGGCTGCCCAGCTCCAGCACGGGCGTCTGAGCACAATCACACAGAACCCCGTTCTTGACACTCTCACTTAACAAAGAGCTCAACTGTCCCCAACACGGGATAGCCTAGAGAGTTCAAAAGACAGTGGCTGCTTTGGCTCAGCCCAGGCACCCTCACTTCTCCTGGGTCTGCCTCCAGCTGATGGGATTTGTGGGGGAGGAATCTGCACACCACTTGGTGATTAGAAGCCCTCCCCCTTCTTCCTCCTCCATCCTGGCCCTGAAGACCTCATGGGCCAGAATGTGGCAGAGGAGGGCCAGGATCACCCAGGATGAGTACATCCCCACCCAACTGCCTCTCGCTACCTGTAGGCAGAGGGTTCTCCGCTGTCCCTCCTGCCCATCCAGGGTACTGAGGTTGGCACCCACCCCAGGGCTTTGGTGGCCAGAACTCCTTAGGGCCTCTGAGTTCCATACCAGAAGAGACAACAGACCCTGGGTTGGGAGACCAGGTTCCCCGAGGGGGTGACAAGGTGGGATGAGCCATTGGAATTTATAGGGTACAACGTGTCAGAGCTGGAAGGGGCCTTAGAGGACATCTGAACCAATTCCAGGTGGGGAAACTGAGGCCCTAAGAAGGAGGAACTGGCAGATAGCATGTTAGGCCAGGACTGGGATTAACCTCAGGCCTGCTTGATGCCTTGACACTTATACTGCAAAGTAGGTATTTTATTATGAAAATGCTACCTACCCACCCCTGTCCCTGTCCTAAGAGGGGTCTGTCAGCCTCCACACTCGGTCCTGAACCTCCCAGAAGGCCCATCAGCATGGAGCCCCTACCACTCCAGCACAAGCTGCAGCCTTCCCCCCACCCCCACCCCGGGTCGTTTCTCCACAGTCAGCCACACTCCTCGGTGGGAGGCTCTGCCCATCTCTGTGTCCCTGGGAATGGGCCCATCTGGGGGTGGGAAGGCGCCGTGTCTGTCCGTCTCTCTCCTTCTAGCAGGGCGGTTGGGGGCTGCGCCAGAGCCCAGAGCTGGGACGACAGGAAAGACTTCCACACAGCGCAGGGGCGGGTCCGAATTCCGGACCCGCAGGGGCGGCTCAGCGCCTGGAGGCTTTGCTACCACCACAGGGTGCAGAGGGGGCAGCGGCGTGTGTGCGAGTTGGGGGGTTTCTGGAAAAGTTCCAGTCGCCCAGGTTTCAGGGCCGCAGGGTACACCCCCGGGGCAGCCGGTGGGCATCAGGGGCAGCAGCACGCGCGACAGGGGGTGGGGCCTGCAGGCGCAGCACGCTGACAGTGGGCAGGTGGACTCCCGGGGCACGCCCGCGAGTGGAGGGGCGTGTGCGGAGGGCGCGGGAGGTGGATGGAGAAGGAGACACACATACAAGCCCCCTCCTCGACCCTCCGCGCAGCAGCCGCGCCCCGGACCGCCGCCCGGAAGGATGCGCGGGTCACGTCCCGCACTCCCACTCGGGTACCTTGGTCCGAACTTGCTCGGGCTCCCAGTGCGGTCGCAGCTCCCGGATGAGGCGCAGGGCGCCGGGCAGGATGTCGTCCTGGTGCACGGAGATCCCGAAGCAGGGGACCGCGGCGGCCCGCAGGGGGCCCGGCGGCTCCCGGCAGCGCGCGCCCGCCGCCGCTCTCTCCTCCATGCCCCATGAGCACTGCGGGCCGGGCGCCGGCCTCCTCAGGTAAAAGGGCGAGCGCGGCACGGGAGCCGGAGGGGGCGCAGCCATTCCCAGCGGCCGCCCCCTCGGAGCCGCCGCGCGCACGCTAGCCCCGCGGGGGGGCCGGCTCGGGGGGCGGCGGAGTGGGGGAGGGGCCGGGGTCAGGCCATGACTCGGGGGCCCCTGCCCGCCGCGCTCGCCTGCTTGCAGCCCGCCGCCCCAAGCCGACCCGGGAACGCCGGGGCCGGCCGCGATTGTGACATCACGGGCGCAGGCCGCGGGGCGGGGGCCGTGGGAACGCCCCCTCCGCCCCCGCCCGGCCCAGGCCCGCAGGAAGCGCTGCCTGCCACCCTCAGCCGCCGGGGCCGCCGCTACCTGGAGCACGGGGCGGGTTGATGCCCCCGGGGAGGCCCCGGAGCGGGGGCGGGGCCGGGACGGTGACGCAGGAGTGGGGGCGGGGGCGGGGCCGGGGCCGGGGCAGTAGCCTTGACTAGAGGGCGGGGCGCATGGGGGCCCGCGGCCCCAGCTCCGGGTTGCCCCCAACCGGGTGCATCCCCACCAGGGGCACCCCCACCTCCACCTAGGGCTTGCTGTCTTGCTTCCGAGGCAGCAAGTTGGCTTCCTCCCTCCTACCTCGGCTGGAACCTCAATCCCCTGGGATAGGGCTGGGTGGGGGCTCTTCCTGCGCCCCAACTCCATTCTGCTGTAGGGAAATCCGGACGCGACCAAAAAGAGGTCAGCTTGGGTGGCCCACCTGTGCCCAGCTCTCTGCCTCCAGTCCCTGAAATCCTGGAGAAAGGCTCTGCAGCCCCTGCTGCATCTCAATGGCGGTTCCTTGCAGGGAATATATCCCCTTATACACACACGTACACACACACACAATGGAGGGACAACATTGTTGTGATGCATGTTGGGGGTGGTTGTGCTAATGGGTATCTCACTAGTTATCAGCCTGGTGGGAGAGCTCTTACTGCCCCACCCAGAAAACTCCCTACCAAGAAGAGCCCCTTTTTCATTTCCCCAAGTTGTTTCTTTGTCCTATTCAGAAACCTCCCAAACACAAGGCCCCATCATTATTGCTGTCCAGAATGTAGCTCTGCCCAGAGGAATTTCTGTGATGATGGAAATGTTCTATATATTGGTGTCCAGTGCAGTGACCACTGGCCACGTGTGACTATCAGAGAATCATGCTCCTGGTTCTGCATAAGGACGCTGCCCATGCAGGAATGCTGCCCTGGAGGACCTTGGGCCCCACACAGTCCCAAGAGGCTGCCATTCTAGAGGTGTGAGGTTTGCCGGGACCTGGTCAGTGTCCCACCCTTTTTGGTCAAAAGAGGGGTGAGCAGCTACCATGAAGAGGCACAGCATCAGTGGCTTCGGGTGAATACTGCATACCTGAGCTAGACATCCCTACGGACAACGCAAGGGGTAGGAGTAGGAGAAGACTTCAGCCTGTCCCAAGTCCATGAGATGGAGAGAGCAGTGTGTGTCTGTGTCATGCCAGGGTGTGGGGGGCTCTCCCTGTCAAGGTTCACCTGCATATAGGAAGGTGGAAAGCCCCTAGGGCCCAAGTCTGATGGGCTGGGTTCCATTCTTGATCTCAGCCAAATTCCTCCCACTCTCTGAGCCTGTTTCCCCACATGTAAAAAGGGAGTATCAATCAGATCTCTGGTGTTCCACTTTTTGGGGTGATGGTGCCTTGGACTGCACTATAAAAGGCTCCATTGGGGTGGGTGGGGTGGGGGTGCTAAGGGTCTGCAGTGCAGGAGAGGCAGACCTGGCTAGTTCAGCAGGGCAGAACCTGAGTTTGGGGCTGGCTTTGGTGAGCTGGGAACATCTTTCTGATCCACAGCCTACTGTCACAGCATTAGCCTTGGTCCTCAAGGGGCTGGAGGGCAACAGGGGCTGGCTCTCTTCCCACCCAAGGTTGTGTAAACAGCTCCTTTTGAGCCCTGCAGACATCAGGTGAGTGTGTTGTCCTGTGCCACATTCCTGTCTGCACATGATCACGCGGTTGCCCCTCCCTCTGTTTCAAACCCTAGTGGACCCAGGCTCAATAGGGTTGTGAACATGAAGTCTTTATTCTGTTTGTCCTCAAAGCAGGGGAGAGCCGGTGCTGGGGCAGGGCAAGCGCCCTGGAGGAGCTCCATGCCCTGTACCTCCACATGAGGACGGGAGCACAGGCAGGGGCGGTTCCAGAGAGGGCTCCAGCTCTGGGCTAGGGCTGCTGGCGGGCCGCCGGGGCAGCAGAGGGCCTCAGTGGGCCAAAGCAAAGCCAATTCGATTGTTTCGCCGATCAAACTCCGTGTAGAACTTGCGGATGAAGGTGGCGCCCAGGACCCAGACAGGCCCAGTGGGTGGTGGGATGTCCAGACCGTGGAGAGCCAGTGTGCACAGGTCATCATTACTGTAGGGGTCCTGGCAGGAAGCACAAGGGTCACTGCCCAGCATGTGACCATTCTGCCCTCACCTTGCCTGACTCCAGAGGCCTTTCTCAGCGATATTCCTCCTCCTCTCCCCCTCTATACTGCAACTCCATTGCATTCTCGCCCTTTCAACTCATCACGAATTGCACCCCCTCCTGGATCCAGGCACCGTCTAGACACTGGGCACACAATGCAGCAGGCACAGCACTACCCCTACGAGCTTACTGTCTGGCAGAGCTTCTGATCCTAGGCAAGTTATTTAACATCTCTAAGTCCACTGAGTAAAAGGGGGATTAAAATACAGGTGCATAGCATCACTGGTAGCATTTGATGAGAAAACAGTAAGGAGCTGTGCACAATGATTCCTAAACTTGGCTGCACATTGGAATCACCTGGGGAGTTTTAAAAACATGGATGCCCAGGTGCCACCCCCAGAGGTTCTGATGTAATAGGGGATGTGGGTTGCTACTGGGACTTTTAAAAGCTACCAGGTGACTCTAACAGCCAAGTGTGAGAACTGCTGGCCTAGTAGGTAATCTGTCACAATGACTTGTCCCTTTTTGAAGGCTCCTGCTTACCCTTCCTGCCTGTTGCCGAAGGGCAGACTGGAACCTCCCTTACCTGTAATACGTAGTCTTGACTGGTGAGTGTGTAGAGTTTGCCTCCGAGGTGGAAGGAGATGTCAGGGAGTGTGGGCACCTGGTTACAGCTCACCACGTACTGAGGAGAAAATAAAGGGAGGCCCTTTGAGTGTGGGGGGGCCTCCCAGCAGACACAGCCCTGTGCTTGTGGCCTCCCCACCCCCAACCGCCCAGGGTGGGGACCCAGCCACACGTGAAGAGTGTGAGAGATGAGGAGATGGAGACCTGAAATGGCCTCACTGGGGACCTAATGCTGCCTGGGGTGATTTGGGGGTCTGGACCAGGTAGCACTACCCCACCCCTGGCACCCCCTCTCCAGCTTCTTACTTCATCTGTGCTCAGCTCCTTGGCCCCCAGGGTCTCCATGAGTAGCCTCAGGGAGCTGGTGGGACCTGAGATGTAGGAGGCACCGGTATCCACCACCACCATGCAGCCCTCCTCACAGAGCAAGGTTGACCTCACAGACACCCTGGGAGAGGCCATAGTCAGACAGACAGGCAGACAGACAGACAGACAGACAGACAGACAGAGGCTGATGGGGCACCACCACCAGGCTGCACAGCTTTCCTGAGTGAGGGCAGGTGAGGGGAGGCCATGCTGGGGGTCCGGTGATGCAGCGAGGGGTGTGTAGGGCAGGAGCTGGAGAAGGAAGGTCCTACTGCCTCTCAGCGTCAGCCTAGTGCCCCTCCTGCCCCCTCAGTAGCCCCTCCCCTCTGCCCCTCACATTTCATTGTTCCCCATTCCAGAACAGCTGGCGAGAGCAAGGTTGGCTGTGTCTTAAGAAGTCGCTGCGTTGGAGAGGACAGGGTGGCAGCCTGTCAGCACAGCACCCTCCGCGCAGCAGCATTTTGGGAGAGTGGGGAGGACTGAGGATGTCTGACCCTTTCATTTTGATCTGCCAGGAGCCGGTCTTGCTGATGCTCACGTAGTGGAAGTTCCCCTGGTAATACTGGGGGTCACTGCCTCCCAGCACGATCTCTCCCCCCAGCAAATGGGAATTCCTAAAGGAAAGATCAGAGGTTCTTGGAGAACTGATGGTCCCAGCAACAAGAAAAGTGGGGCCTGGGGCGGGCCCGGCCCAGGAAGGCAGGGACGGCAAGGCTGGGAAACCGCAGCATGTGCTGCCTCCCCCCTTTGCTTGCCCCTCCCCAGCCCAACCAGGGGAGGTTCCCCAATGATCGTCCAACTGCACCCAGTAAAGCATCCCCACTGAGGTCACAGAAAACAGGCACCAGGACAGACAGCAGAATGCAAACAAGACACAAATCGGCCCCACCCTCACTTAGGGTTGGACAGGTACATGGGAGGGGACTCGGGGGAACTGTGGGGTGGGGGTGGGCGGGGGGCATGAAGAGAGCAGGAAGGAGGCCCGAGTCCGTTCAGTGTCCAGCAGAGCCTGGGCCTGTGAGGTGAGGTTTGGGTAGGTGGTGGGTGGGATTCTGGGCCAGGTGTTCTGGAAGGTCAGGGCCACATGGGGCACTTCGGCTCCTTACTTGGAATTTCTGTAGAGAAAGAGACACAGCAGAAAGGAAGCCTTTGTTTCAGAACCTCACTAGCCTGTTGTTGGGCAGGGTGGGTGTTTGCACCCTTCTTACCCCTCAGGCAAGAGTGTCACCCAGAGGCGAAGTCACACACACTGGGGTCATCAGGGGACTGGAGTCAGGGCTCCTGGGGCCCAGTCTGAGGCTGATCCCCTTGCCTACCTCTCCTCGCCTACCTTTGGCCTGGTTTCCAGGGTGTGTACATGACAGGAGGCATCTGTACATGTTCATGTGTATACAGCCGTGTGGCTATGCACACACTATGCAGTGAATTGTACTCACGCACGTGTGGTAGCTCGCGTTCCCTCCGCCCCCGTCCCAGCACTTCAGGTTCTCTCTGGATGTTCCCTCGGTCAACAAGGCTGCCTTCCTCCCATTGCTGGATCCTCCTCCCTCCCATGGTCTCCTGGCACCTGTGCCCTCCATTACCATCCCTTTCCCCACATTTTCCAGCTCTTGTTTCCCGTTGCCTTCCCTTCCCCTGCACGTGTGCTCAGGCGTCCTCTAGCATTGGAAAACACCCACCCTCCTTCCCTCTGCTTCGCTCTGCACTTCAGTCTGCACCCCCTCTGGCGTTCCCTTCCCTGTTGAATTTCTCAGGGCAGCCTACACCTGCCCTTCACTTCCAGACTCCCACACTCACCTGTTCACTCCTTGCCATCTGGCCTTGCTCCGCCTCTAAACCAGCTCTTCCCAAGACTCGCCCTGCCGCAGAGCCAACGGATGGCCTTGTCTCAGTGTCCCCCTTCTCTCGCCACGTCAGACACTCCTTTTCTTTTGACCTCTGAGATGTCTCTGGAGTCTGACCCTCCCCTCCGTCCTCACTGCCGCTGGCCTGGTGTTCTTGCCCTTGTGATCCTTGTGTCTGGCTCAGACCATCTTTCTAAACCCAACAGCTCGGAGCAGATCGCAGACCTGCTCAATAGCTGACAGTGGCCTCCCCAAGGCCTGTGCAGAAGCTCAGCCCAGACTTGAAAAGCCCCGGCAGGTCCAGCCTGTGCTACCCGCTGCCGCTCATCACGTCGTGTTTCTCGTCTCCCTGCCAGACTGTAGGCTTCGTGAGGGCAGAGCTGTCTTGTTCATTGTGTGCGGCTGTACCCTCAGCACCTCACACCGTGCTTGGCACGTAAGTTCCCAGTATTTATTGAACCACTGAACAGAAGGAAGGAAGGAATGGCGTCAGCTGTCTGTGAGAGGAACCGTGGGCCCTCGCAGGGAGGCCTCAGGCCACAGCAATGCCTACTTTCCCTCGCCCCCCCATTCTCCTCTCGTCCTCGAGCAGTGCCGTCTAGCAGAACGTCCTGTGATGATGGACACGGTCTGTGTTTCTACTGCCCAGCAGTGTAGTCAGTAGCCACTGTGGCTGCTGAGCGCCTGACAGGGGGTTCGTGCAAATGAGGGATTGAATGCCTACTTTCATTTTATTTTAATTTATTTAAATTGAAGAGGTGGCGTCCATATCGGATAGTGCGGTTCTAGATATGGACTGAATACCACCTACTCGTGAACACACCAAAACCCTGGTCCGACTCCTCCTCCTCCACCAGCTCGCCTGCCTCCCCTCCCTGCCCCTGCGTCCCAGGCCCACCTGCTGTAGTAGACGGAGAAGACGTCCTCCTTGAGCACCCTCTGCGAGAGGATGTGGTCGAAGACGGGGGTGACCCCAGCAACGGCCTGCGCAGGGAAGCCCATGCCCAGGACCCCATCAAACTTGGCCAGCATGAAGGGCATCAGGGGCAGCTCCGTGACCTCTCCAAACATCTGTGTCACCGTGATTCCGCCCACCTATGGGGGGAAGGACCAGAGGAGACCAAACCCTCTTGCCCACGCCCCAGCCAGGGTCTACTGGGCTTCCACATTGGGGGCCTCGGGGCTACACGTGTTCCGGGGTATGGTGATTGGGGGTGAGACCATTTCATCAATCCCCACACATATCCTCTCCCCTAATATGCATCTAGGCTGTTGGGTCTACAGAGAACTGGGGTTACCCACTGACTGGACGGGGCGGAGGCTGAGAAGCTAGTACTGCCAAGAAATGACAGAAAAGATGCCAGGAGTTCCCATACTCCCTCCCCAATGGTCCAGCCTTGACTTCGGCAGGATGGTCTTAGTGCCCCAGCCCTAGGCCTGCCTTTCGTGCTCCCTTTCCCCCAACTTCACAGACAGGAGGGGCAAGGGCTCACACTGGCTTTTCTCAGGTTCCGTGAGTATCCCTTCCCCAAGGCTGACAGAGCAGGAGCTGAAGAAACCCTGGAATGGGGAAGGGGCCAGGCCCTGGCCCTAATCCTAAACTCTGACCTTAAAACCTATCCCTGATCTGAAAGCTGACCCTGACTCTGACATGTCGGTCTAGGGTCTGGGGAAGAGCGCAGTCAGATCTGGGTGACCTCAGGCAGGTTGCTTGACTGGAGTTACCTGTGTGAGTTAAATGCAAAAGCCTCTATAGATCACCTGGCACTGAGCCAGGAGCTCAGGTTTGCTCCGTCCAGTGGCAGAGCCTGTTCCCAGACTCCAAGGTGAGCTGGATGGCACCTTACCCAAGTATGGACCCTAGAGTGGCAGGAGAGGTCTGGGGGCAGGAAGGGCAGGGAGTCAGATGACCTGGGCTGGTTCCACTTACAGTCACCATGTCCTGGCTCAGGAAGCCCTTGACTTTTCCAGATCCATAGTGGATGGTGAATTCCGTCCCATTCTCCATGTAGCTGGAGGATTCCGAGGAGTCGTAGAGGCTGTGAATCTCTGGCAGAGGGACATAGGCTCAGGTCTGTCCCAGAGAGGTCCAGGCAGGGGGCTCGGACGCAGGCACATATGGGTATGGTTGAGGACTTAGGTTGGGGTGGTCCTGAGGTCGGTTGGAGGCTTGGAAAAATGTGTTTTACCAACCAGGGACTATGTTTCTGGGGCCCCTGTTATGTGCCCATGTCTCTGAGAATTTTGTCTCAAGTGTAGCATTATAGAGTAATTTGTAGCACTGGGGTGAGGAGAAGAGTCTGGCTACAGTCAGTGCTCAGTAAGAAATTGTTGACTGAGGACAGGGATGGAAGAGCCCAGGTGTCTGGAGTGTCTGAGCATTGAACCCTCTGTCAATCTCAGGCCTGCAGTCTCAGAGAACTGGCCTTCTTGGCGGGCTGCACGCCCCTGAAGCTTGCTGTGTTACCCCGATGGCCATATCGGGAAAATGGGGGACATTTCCCTCTGGCCTCTCAGGGGCAGTGGGAGCAGAGGCCAAGAGGAAACAGCCCCAAGGATAGCAGGAGGGATTTAGCAGGGTGGGAGGCAGGACTGCCTAGGCATGGCAGGCAGGGGGCGTGGGGAGGGGCACCACAGGTCCTGGGGCTCACCACAGGCTGTGTAGAGAGGGCTGCACTTGGTGGAGGGCACCCAGAGGTTGGCTGATCCTGTGTCAAAGATGACTTTGAAGGTCTGAGGTGGGGTGCCAATGCCAATCTCGCCATAGTACTGGGTCTGTAGGGATGAAAGAAAGGCAGCTGGAAGGACTTGGGGAGCCTTGGGCCTGGGGGTCTCACTGATACCCCCGCTTGGCACTCAAGGTGAGGTTAGGCAGATCATCCAGCCTCTGTGGGTTTCCATTTTCCAGCAGGGCATGGATGAGAGGCTTGGCGGCCTATGACTTCCTAAGAAGTGAGACAAGAGGGCAAAATAAAAAGACTGAAAACGACGTAGGAAGGTTCCCCACCCTGGAGGAACCGCTGACAAGCAGTGGTTTGTGCTGAGCCTGGTCACAGAAACCTGCATCTAAGGTCACACACCCGTACTGCCCACCGGTGGAGGCCCAGGGCATGAATTCCTGAGTTCCACACCTAGCCTTGCCTCTGGGCTCTTTCCTGTCCTCTGTCCCTCAGGCTTTTCAGCTGTAAAATGGGAATTTGCAGGGTGCTTAGTGCTCCTCAGGCACTCAGTCAAAGACAGCACAGAAAGGGCCAAGAAAGCCTTAGGCCCAAGAGAGCAAGGAGATGGCAGGAGCAAGGGCCCGGGCACTCACGTCCAGGTAGTTGGTGAGGACCACGGGAGAGGTGCTGTTGCTGAAGGACAGTCTCTGGGAGAACTGGCTCCCTTCTGCCCGGAGCCTGGCCACGTCCACACCGCGCTCCTTCAGGCTTTCCCGGACTGAGGGCATTTTCTTGAGGAAGATCCTGGCCCAGAGTGAAGGAGGAAAACAAGAGGGGTCTGTACTCCCCCATCATAATCCCTGGAGCATCTAGGACCAGAACCCTAACCTTGACCCAGGCAACTGAGAATCACCCTTGTGCCCTCAGACCTCTGAAGGAGAATTCACAAACGCGGTGAGTTACCTGCACTAGTATTAAATAACCCTCAACTGCCTTCCTCCTGTTTAATTTTGATCACTGCAAGGACATTTGTTCATTCATTCATTCATTCATTCCATAATCGCGTGTTTAACACCTCCTCTGTGCCTGCACCAGAGCTGGAGACTAGAGATATAAAGATAAAGGTCAATGCTGCCTTCAAGGAGCTCCCATCAGGAAGGAGACAGAGGAGGAAACACAATGACATCCCTTCTAAGAGGAAGCCTGGGAGTGCCCCCTCCAGCTGGACAGGAAGAGGCAGTGCCATGGGAGACCTGCAGGTGGCAGCAGACGCCCACAGCAGCCTGAGGGGCTCGCCATGCCTGGGGCAGGCGCCAACCAGGACTGTGGGTGGGGTAGACCAACTGAATTAGGTGGGGAGACAGGGCAGCTAGAACCTGTGCATGCTGTCCTTGGAAAGGTGTGCCTTCTGAGCCTCATCCCAGTCCCTTGTCCCGAGACCTTCCTACCACCTTTGGGAGGCTGGATTAGACACCTGAAAAACTTCCCCAGACTCCCCACACTAGGTTGTCCTCGCTCTATGATGAGGAAATGGAGGTTCATAGGGGTGAGGTGACTCAGGACAGGGACTCAAAGCGAGGTGTCTGGCCCTAATTTCTGTGTAGGGTCCCTGGTACTAGGGCATGAGGGCTGTTCAGCGAAGCATGAAGGAAGATGTCCCTGGCTACTGGGGGGGGAGGGGGAGGGCCTCAGGATTGGAGCCCAATTTATAGAGAACCCCTCTTTCTTCTCAGCTGCCAGTCCTCCATACTTGTGCTCTCCCCTCATCCTCCATACCCCGTCGTGCCCAGGAATAGGAATACCACTTTTCTATTCCATATGCCCGTCACGTGTCGTATGCTTGTCAGTGTAATATTTCAATGGACTTGACTTGCCATATATCACAGTTTACTATTCACAAAGTATTTTTGCAATTACGATCATACTTGATTCTCAATCATTTCACGATGTGGGCCATTTGATTATTTTCATTTACAGACGGGGACATCTGTAAAATGGGAGGGGCAGAGAAGGCTTTTCCACTATTCACCCTGGACCGCCACTTGATACCATTCTTCTTTCACAAAGTCTCTTTCTCTGCCCCCCTGCCCCCAGTTTTTTCATTCTTCAAAGCCCAGCAGTCACCCCCACTGCAGGACACCTGCCCACGAACTCCAGCTCACACTGGCCTCACCTTTGCTCGGGCTCCTGCTCGGTGCTCCCTGGGTGCTCATGGCCAGCACCCCCCGGCCGAGCGCTCACAGAGGTGCTGCTGTCCGGTAGTGAGGACACAGTGGAGGTGGGCACAGGCTGGAGGTCCTCACTCCCTGTGTAATTCTGAGCGATGCACCGAACCTCTCTGGGCTTTGTCGGAGCCCCCAGGTACTCCCCTCTATGACTGGACTTCATGGTAATACCCACCTCAGAGGATCACCGCACCCTTCAATGAGCTGCCCACTGCTCAGTAAACGTAAACTGTGTGTAAAAGGCCGTGAGCCCTGGCCAGTTTGGCTGAGCAGTAGAGCATCAGCCCGTGGATCAATGAGTCCCGGGTTCAATTTCCAGCCAAGGGCATGTACCTTGGTTGTTCATCCCTGGCCCTGGAGCTGGTGGTTACTCTCTGGGAGCAGGGAAATCGGATTTGAAAATGAATGGCCCAGTGTGTGTTGAGGTTTGGCCTCTACATGTGACCTCCCTGAGCCTCAGTGTCCTCATCTGTAAAATGGGGTTGCTCGGAGGATGATTTCGAATGACAGATGTGAAAAGATCCCGTGAAACTCAGCATTTTACAGGCTTAGCAACTATTTTAGTAAAACCTGACCCTTTACTTGAAGATTTACTGAGGATGGCGCTCCCCGAACAGAAGCCCCTTTCTCTGCAGGGCCCTGTCCCACTCCGCCTCTGTCCTTTGCGGCCTTAGCGAATGGCCTGTTCCCACAGGGCCTGGCACCGCACAGGCCTTTCTCCTCTCTCCCTGAGCTGCCTTAAGCCTCTTTTGTCATTTGTGACAATGACAGCTGGGTTTTGACAGCGTGCCAGCGTCATGCTAAGGGCGTTCCTGGTGGTGTCTCATTCAATCTTCAAGGCACCTCCAGTGAAGTAGGTGCTGCTATTACCCCTGTTTTAACAACGGTAAACTGAGACCCGGAGGACTTCAGTAACTTGCCCCTGGTTCCAGACCTAGTTAGTTCTGTTAGTGGAGCAGAATTTAAACCAAGACAATTCAGTTCTAGAAGCCTTGCCTTGGAGCACTCTATGGTGCTTCTCCCCGAGTAGACTTGACCAGACCACACCTTCCTTAATAATCAGGCCATGAGGTCCTCCAGGGCCAGGGGGCATGTGGGCATGTCTTAGTCCTCCTGAGTTCCCCACCGTCCTGGTGTCACTACTGGCTGTGTGACATTGGATGAGTCACCTGACCTCTCTGAATAGGACCACACCTCCCTGCCCAGCTGATCGTGAGAACTGCATGACATCACCTCTCTGAAAGCCAGGAGTGTTAAGAAGGTGTGTACCCCTACGCCCCTGCCACCCTCTTGCCTGGGTTACCTTCTGAAGGCGCCTGTGTCCACGGGGAGACTGAAGGTGCAGGAGCCCCAGAGCACCAGCAGGAGACCCCAGCGAGGCACTCTGCTCCATCGGTCCATGCTTCCCCTGGTCCCTGGCTTCTCTGGGATCCAGTGAAGCCTGTGGCTCCCAGAACCCCTCTCCTTTTATACTCTCCGCACTTGGAATGGTGCAGCTCTGCTCTGCCCTGATTTACTACCTGGGGCAGAGGGCAGGGCAGCCAGTATAAGCCCCCGTGGGACTGAGCTAGGGGAGGGGTAACCAGGTTTCCAACATGGAGCTAGAGGAAGTAGGGCTGTGGGAACTCAATGCTGTACCACTGACGCCAGCAGCCTGGTCTCAGTCTGGCCCTGTGACCCCCAGAGGGGACAGAGGCCGATGAGAAACAACCCTGCTCAGGACCAAGGTCAGGGCTGGGACAGGCGTAGAACCTGAGTTCCCAGCCCCCACAAAGGCTCCCCCTTCATCCTCTCTATTAGCCTTGGCTGTGCCCCTGCCTGACTTCTGCCAGACTGCATCTTCGTGTTCCCACCTGGTTGTTGTTCCCTGACAGAGCCAGATGCAGGGCCTCTCAGCCGCCACCTTCCAGGCCTCCATCAGCCGTGGCTGTTTGTGGGAAAGTGCACCTGGCATAGCCCTCAGAAGGCAGGGGCCGGAGGCAGGGACTGTGTCATCTCCACTGACTTGGTGTTGGTGGCCGCACCCAAGGGCTCGGGAGGCTTCTGCGGAAGAGTGAGGGGCAGCTGCTCTTCCAACGTCTAACCGTCTCTCCGCGTGGCCCTGACTCCCTTCTCGGCACTGTCTCTGCCTCCTTCCCTTTACCTTGTGGGTTATAAGCCATCTGGGACAGCTTCCCAAACCTGGCCCCGGACCCCAGGATGGGTGCGATCTGGTCCCTAGGATACCCTCTCCCAGCTTCCTTCTGCGAATTCTTCAGGGCCCACTTCAGTTATCAGCACTTCCTCCATGAAGCAGGCCCTGATTTAGCCCAGGATCGACTGCTTTCTGATGTGGGCTCCCCCCAGCCCCCACATGGCACCAGCCCTCTGGCGAGAGTGTGGACCTCAACTGTCCAGCATCAGAGTTGTTCTGTATGAGTGCCCCCTCCTCTTACCCAGAGTGGTGCTGAATATGTATCAGATGAACAGATCAGTGAACTGTGATGCGCAGTGCAAAGAGCCCTGGGCTAGTTGTCAGGGACCTGGGTTCTAGTTCTGACTACCACAAACCTGCTGTGTGACAGTGGACCCCTCGCTTCCCCTCTCTGGGCCTCAGTTCCTAAATCTGTACAGTGAAACAGATGCTTGGTGGCCCCCAGGGTGCCTTCTTACTCAGACACGCTAGCATCTGTTCTGTGCCTTCGGGGTGCAGAGTGCTCCCTGCACCGACTGTGGGCAGTGACGACTTCATCGGAGGAGCTCCTCTTTGAGGGAAGCCAGCCACTCTGTTCTCTGCCTCTCCTACCACCACCATAGTGCTTGGTCGCTTGGGGACAGACACAGCGAAACTGTGTGGCTGGCGTCATACAGGGCTGGGGCAATGCCAGATGTGGTGATCAAAGATGAGGGACAGCCCTGGCTGGTGGGCTCAGTGGTTAGAGCTCCAGCCCGTGCACCGAAGTGTCATGGGTTCGATTCCTGGTCAAGGGCAGGTGCCTGGGTTGCAGGTTCCATCCCCAGCCGTGGTTGGGGCAAGTGTGGGAGACAACAAATTGATGTGTCTCTCTCACATCCATGTTTCTCTCCCTCCCCCCTCCTCTTCCACTCTATCTAGGAATCAATGGAAAAAATAACCTCGGGTCAGGATTAACGAAAGAAAGAGAAAGAAAGAAAAGAAAGAAAGAAGGAAGGAAGGAAGGAAGGAAGGAAGGAAGGAAGGAAGGAAGGAAAGAGAAAGAAAGAAAGAAAGAAAGAAAGAAAGAAAGAAAGAAAGAAAGAAAGAAGTGACAAAGGGACCTAGAGTTCTAGCAACAGTGTTTTGAATGATAGACTGTAGACTAGCGGCTGGGTATGGGGAGAAGTTGGGACAGGACAGGATGGATGAGCTGGACGGAGGCAGAGGACCCCGGACAAGTGGGAAGCAAGAGCAGAGGTCGTGGGAATAGTGGAAGCGTAACGATGAAGGCGGAGAGCTGACCAAGCCTGGGGCCTTCGAGAGGGTCTCATGGAGGCGGGGCAGTGACAAGTGGTGACGTGCCCAGAGGATGTGAGGGTGGGGGCTGAAGCGGAACGGGGGAGACCCCTGGAAGGAGGACACTCGGAGCTGAGGAGCCAGGGTGCTGGCCGGCCACCGTCTGAGCGGATGGTGACGTCATCCCGGAGGATCACAGAGGGCACAGGGGGAGAAGGCTGTAAGCCACAAGCCAGGGCCTTTGACAAATGATGGGGCAGGACCTGCGAGCCCAGTAATGGCAGCAGCAAGTGAGTGAGGGGAGAAGGGCCAAGGCAAAAAGAAGGGCCTGAAAGGAGCAGAGTCTTCTTTCAACGTCCATGTCAGCCCTGGGAGGTGAGTGGACCAGCACCCTTGGAACACAGGAGGAAATCAAGACCGGGGGGGGGGGGGGGGGAGTAACACCCTGTGTCCTAATGACCGCTGACTCCGTGCACTTGCATCCCCCCTGTCATACCCTGTGTTACATGAGGGTCCAGCTGCAGAGGTGATAGGGGTCCTGCCCCAGACCCCACCTGTCTGCACTGTGAGGCCCTCTGCTGACAGAGGTTCTGTCAGGAATCAGGAGAGTGGCTATGGGTGATGTCTCCTTTCTCACCAACAGGCCTCACAAGATTCTCACCTGTCAGTGAGGGTGACCGACCACCCATGCTCCCTCCCCTCCCCTGGCCCCGAGGCCTGGAGCAGAGGAGCTAGGAGCAGGGACAGAGCAGGGGGCGATGGGGTCCACCTGGAAGTGACACCGATGGTTTAATGAGCACCTGCACGTGCTGTGAAGAACAGTGGCCCTACGAACGGGCGCTCAGCCCTGCTGTTCAGACGGACGGGCAGCTGAGGCTCCAGGGAGCAGAGGCCGAGCCCTCTGCCTTGTGACTCCCGGCCCTTCTCTGTGGCTGTGGGTGTCAGAGACACAGCGGGATCCACAAGAGAGGGGTGCTGAGCAATGGCTGAGCTCCAGGGAGCGCCGCCAACCCCACAGTGCTCTCTGTGGGGCAGAGGACATTTATTTTTAAAAATATATTTTTTAATTGATTTTAGGGAGAGAGGAAGGCAGAGGGAGAGAGGGACAGAAACATTGATGAGAGAGAACATCGAATGGCCGCCTCCTGCATGCCCCACACTGGGGATTTGGCCCACAATCTGGGCATGTGCCCCGACTGGAAATCAAACTGGCGACCTCTTGGTGCCTGGGTCGACGCTCAGCCAGTGAGCCACACCGGCCGGGCCAGAGGACATTTTCTAAGCCTAGACCCAGTTGTAGTGGAGACACTCAGCACGGTGCCCAGGACCCTCACACATATTTGAGATCAGTGCACAGCACCCTGCTATGGCAAAGGCAGGGCCACGTGTCCGCCAGCAGGTCCAGGCCCCCTGTGGACCCAGGCACCCTCCTGTCCCCAAGCCCTGTCGCCCGCTCCCTGCGAGCGTGCGCAGCCAATCCGCCACGCTGGGCCTAGAGCACAGTGGAACAAGTGTGAGCAAGTGGGGGGTCGCCTCACCAGGAGAGAGACATATAACATATGAGGCCACAGTCAAACTGTACCCGAGAGTTGCAGGGACCAGAAGAGGCAAGGAAATCAACTTCTACAAGGATAACAGGCCCAGAAACGACAATCTCTCTTATATTTTCTGACACCCCAGCTCAGAGGCTGGGCAAGAGGCAGCCTTTTGGGCTTCCCTAGTCTTCCTTCTCCATTCAGCCCCTCGGGCTCATAAACCCTTGGGGACTTTGCAAGGGAGGCAGAGCCAGGCAGGTGCAGCCTGAGGCCGTGAGTGGCCAGGAGAGAGAGTCTGGTTTTTGGTCTGTTCTAAGGAGGAAATATCCCAGGAGAAGAAATGCACTGCGAGGGGGCAAGCTCCGCCCTGGGCTAGTGAGCTCTGGATGTAGGATCCTGTGTGTCCTGGTCTGTTACCATTTCCAACGTCAGGGCGGGGAGAGTCCGGAAGGGGAGGTGGGAGTCTGTCCTTTCTGAACGGAGGCCTTCCAGTGCCCTGGGCTGTGGGGTGGGAGGGCAAGTGGGTAGGGACCCTTATCAGGTCATCTCCCAAGCCCTGTCAGTCCAGGGGTCCAGTGTTTCTCACAGAGGCTCCCCAGAACCCAGGTCTGGGCCCCTGGCTGCGTCACCACGAGGTCAGGGGAAGCGGAGTGGGCTGACGCAGAGGGAAGGGTTGCGTGGCACCTGCCCTTTCCCAGTGGGGCAGGCCCAAGACGTCAGGAGACGCATAAATCCAGTTAGTTGGTGCTTGGCCCTCGAATCTCTCTTCAGATCCCATGGCCGGGCGTATAGAGCGGGGTCAGACTTTGGGGGAGGGGGTGTCTCTAGACAAGTGGTGCTCGGAGTTTCTCTAAGAATGGCCCCAAACCCCATTTTGCTCTGCGCTGACCCCAAGGAGAGCCAGTGTCCAGACCAAGCCCGGGAGTGGGAGCAGAGGCCCGGGCTGGAGGGAGCGAAGGCCGGCGGCAGGAGAAGCCTGAGTTACCGGCTGTGGAGCGGGCGCGGGCTTATGCGTGGCCTTCGTTAGTTTCCTGGAGAGCACTTGCCAGGGTCACTGCTGGAGGGAAGGGGGTGAAGAGGCTTAGAGCTGGGGAGCTAAACATCCCTGGGTCTGTCCTTATGTTCACGAAAAGCAAATGGGGAGACAGGAGAGACGAGAACTGGACATGTCCTCCTTCCTCCCCACATCACGCGCGGGCCCCAGCTGGCTCCCCTGAGGAATTTCTCAATCAGATGGGGCCACTGAGCTCCGCAGAGATGAGCAGATGGGGCCTTGAGAGAAAAAGAAAGACCCAGAGCAGAGTTGAATAAGCAGCCAGGGCTGCCTTGTGTGGGTGGAGCCTCCGGAAGGAGCAATTAATTACCTGGAGAGCCTGGGCGGCACTGGGGCTGGGACCAGGGGGCCTTGGAGCTGGGGAAGGGGGAGAAAACCAAGCATCCTTTTCTGGGGACCTTGGAGGAACAGGAACTCAGCACAGGGTTGGGGTGATCCCAACCTGAGGCTGACTCAAGGGGAAATCAAAGGCAGGTCACACAGGCCTTAGATCGGCAGGGGCTGAGGCAGGAGAGGGCTGGGAAGGGGCTGGGGGCAGAGGGGAGGGCCTGGTGGACAGGTGTTCCTGAAATGAGATGCACCCAGCATCCTGGGGCCAGAGGCCATATCCTGAGGTATGACAGCTACACACATCCTAGACTGCTTTTCCTAAATGGCACCAGAGGTCTGTCTCATTATTAAAAAGCTTAAACTGGAAGGTCCCTTTTCCAGAGGAGGAGGGCATGACAGCAAGCAGCTCAGAGGAGTGTGGGTGGTGGTGTGGGGGAGAAGCAGGGACGGTGGCCCTGGTGGGAGGGTGACAGGGGTTTGTGTGCTAAGAATGTTACCAGCAGGATAGCAGGGATGGGGAGGGCTCCTAGGGAAAGTGGTTGTATCCCAAGAATGCATTTCCCCGGAAATGGACCCTCCCTTCCTCCCCTCTTTCCTATCATTTTTTTTTTTATCAGAAAAATACATGCTCTAGTTTGAAAAACCAATAGAACTAAAAGGTGTATAATGAAAACTAGCAGACGCCAGTCCTGCCCCAGCCAACAGAGGGCGCGCCTTCCAGCTCGAGCTATTTTGCTGCTGTTGGTGGTCCATATTCCTAAAGCATACGCTTAGACTGTCATTTCTTCATTTTTCTGTTTTATACCTTACTTATTGACCTTTGTTTTTTAATCCTCACCCAAGGACATTTTTGCATTTATCGTCAGATAGAGCAGGAGGGAGAGAGGGAGGAAGAGAGAGAGAGAAACATTGACGTGAGAGAGACACAGCGAATGCTTGCCACCCACACAACCCCAACCAGGGCTGGGGACAAACTGCAACCAAGGTACGTGCCCCTTAGTGGGAACTGAACCCGGGACTCTCTGGTCTGCAGGCCGATGCTCTAACCCCTGAGCCAAACCAGCCAGGGTACTTATTGACCTTTTTTAAATGGCAGATAAGGATTTCTCTCTTTTATACTCTTACCCTTTAAGTTTCAATATCAAAAGTCAGTATTTACGTTATGATAATCCTTGTTCACTGTGTATTTTTCTTCTTGTGTAAATTGTGGCTTTTCGTTATGTTCATCCCCCCCCTCCCCCTCTTCTCCAGTCCTTGTTTTTCTGTGATCCTGTAAATCGTGTCCAGATGCTGCAGACCCCTCTCCACCTGCTGGTGTCCAGTGGGATTTCCTCTGGGGAGCCCCGTGCTCTGACGCCGCACACTGCTGTCTGCCCACCGCATCTCTCCTGACTCTTGGCCCTGTAACTTTCCAGTGACGTGACCTTGGGCACACCACACCACCTAATCTCTTTGAGCCTCAGTTTTCTCTTCTGTGCAATGGGGATAACATTGCCCGCCTCGTGCAGTTGTTGTGAGGGTGACATGGAATAGCCCTGTGCTGGGCACCCCACAGGGTCTCAAACATTGCTTATTATTTTATGAAGAGTGATACTAGAAGCAGACACCTTCCTGCACCCTTTCCTGTCTTGCTCTCCATGTTCCTTTGCGAACAGGCATGAGACCTGCTCTCCACTCTTATAACAGACTTACCCAAAGTAGTAGAGCCTGGAAAAAGACCCTCCCACAGCCCCTTTCCCCAGGGAAGGATGCCCAGGCCTTCCTGGTTTCTTGCCTCTTGGGGACTGTGCAGAGGCCCCAGGAAGGAGTGGATTTGAGTGCCCCTAAGCAGCCCCATCTCCAGGTTTTGTGGCTCTGGTGCCCTAGCTCTCTGGACCTACCCAAAAAGTTTGGAGAGGGGGATGGGAGTTCTTGGTGCCAGCAATGTTTATAGCCCCTGACAGCCTCCAACCTGCCCTGCACCCTCCCTCCAATCCAGGGCGCAGGGTCAGAGCCAGGCTGGGAGCCTCATGAAACCAAAGATCTCTTCCCAAGATATGGGGCTGAGAGCTGCAAAGCCCAGGGTCTCTCAGCAGCAGTCCCAGGACAAGGAGCAGGGGACGGGCAGACCCAGCTCTCCTGCCACCTGCCGAAGCAGCCAGGATGGACATCCTGGGGGCACTTGGGTTGCAGTGGGAGTTGATAAGGCCCCAAATGTAGTTGGAAGGGCCCACCTTACACACAGGGTCTCCCAGACTCATGTCTATGAACGAGCACACGGTCTCTCATATTTCCTCTCACGTCCCCACAGTGTGCTTTTTGTGCCAGAGAACACGGTTCATTCTCCTGCCCCTGAAGCAATGTGTGCTTGTATGCATGCACACACGTGTACACACACACACACACACACACACAAACACCCAGGCTCTGGCTCTTCAGTTAATCTGCCTGCCCACAGTCACAGGAGAAGAGAGCTTTGGACTGTTCCCCAAGCCGAACACCTTGCAGGCACTATCTTCAAGGGGCTCCCTTTGGCTTCAAGACCCTCCTAGGAGCAGAGCGGGCTGCCTGGGGAGGTAGCTGGGGCCATAGCACCTCTGCAGCAGGGTGGCAGGGTGCCCTGGCCTGGGCAAGGCGCCCCCCCCCCCCAAGCGGGTCTCCTGAGTCAGATGGGCCTGGCTGTCCCAACAGAACAAGATGTTGGTTTTCATTGGAGGGGTGACAGGTCCTAGATTGGAACTGGGGACTTGGGGTGGCAACCTGAGCACAGTTGATAAGGAAAGTTAGGTGAGCTGTGGGGATGGCCTTCTGATGGTGGGCCAGCTTCCCACCTGAATTGGTCTCCAGAGTTGTTTCAAGGCCCACGATTCTAGGGCTGGCTTTCTGGTCCCTGGGGTCTTCTGATGAGGCCACTGCACCTGGTCTAGCCTGGATGGCAGGAGGAGCAGCTTTTGACAGCCTCTTCCAGGATGTAGTTCCCCATCCAAGGACCAGACCTTTAATATTTACAAATCTGCTGAGTGACCTCCACAGGGAGCCATAGGAATGGGCCTGGGGCAATTAGGGAACAACTCTGAGCCACGGGTATGTCAACAAGGTTGACAGAGGCAGCCCTTCTGCCAAACAGACACCATTTCTTCCCGCTTCAGCTGCCTCCTGACTTCGGACAGGCCTTGGAAGCTTCTCATCCGGGCCTCAGTTTCCCAAATCACAGTCGTCATCTGGTTGCATCACCAGTTTGGTTCTGTTTTGTCCTACCTAAGAATTTATGGAATACTGCTTATGTGACAGAGTGTGTCCTTGTCTGGGGACCGAAACAACCAACATTTCCTCCTCCTGGTTCTGGATATTGGGAAGTCGGGATCAAGGCATCTGCAGATTTGGTTCTTGGTGAAGACCGGCTCACTGGTTCGTAGATGGCTTTTCTTTTTCTGGGCTAGAAATTTGATGGTGCTGAAACACCCAAGCGGCATCCAACTTGGATTTTTCTTTAGTTATTTTTCAAATTTGGGGGGGAGGGGGGAGTGGCGGGGAGAGAGAGAGAATGAGAATGTGTGTGTGGGAAGTACTGATCTGCTGATCTGCCCCGGGAATCAACAGCCTGGCCCTTCACTTCTAGTTCGAAGGGCACTGCCCTTAGTTACATTGCAGCCATGTAGAACCAGCTGAAGAGGCAGTTGAGGCGAGAAGAGGAACAGCCTCATGAGCTCTGCTTGCAAAAATCAGCCACAAATCAATCACACGCAGGTGAGTTGGCAACTTTTCTTTTATTGATTCAGGACGGAAGCCCCAGGCCCCCTCCCATCACCAGGCCCTCACTCCGGCCCTGCGTGCCCGGAGGCCCTGTCAGTCCAGGGGTGTAAGTCCTTTGTCCCTGGGCGACGTCCCGGGGCGCTGCCGGCCTGCCGCCTGCCGTAGCGCAGGCCGAAGGAGTTCCAGTTATAGGCAGACAGGTCCTTCTCCCGCTGCACCAGCGCTGCGCCCCGCAGGGCGGAGATCAGGCGGCTGCGGGACGCGCACAGGGGGGGCCGGCGGGACCCCTCCGCGCTCTCGGGGGCTGCGCACCATGGGCTCTGCTCCCAGGCGGCCCGGGTGTCCAGGGGGCCGAGCTGCTGGCCTAGGACAGAGCGGGAGGGAGAGATTGCTGGAGGCCGCACCAGGCGTCCCCTGGAACCCCTGCGCACAGCCCATCCTGTGCTTCCCCTTTGTTCCTGGACCAGGACGCTCCCTGCTCAAGGCCGGCTGGGAGGACCAGCCCTGGAGCTTGGCGGTCAGGCCATTTGCTCCCCTCCTCTTTCAACACAGCTCTGATTTAAAGTATTTTCCAGAAGTATCTTCAATATCTTTTATATGAAATTACTTCCTCTTAGGAATCAAACAGGGTAGAGTCTAAAAATCAAGAGAACTGAGGTGTTTGCCAGAAGTTCAGCTTGGCCCACGGCCCTCTGTCTGGTTTCTGCGCAGGCTCCCCAGCTGGGCTGCGAGGCCCTGGGGCGGGTGAGGCGGTCATTAACGCCTTATCTCGCAGCCTGTTTGAACCCGGGCCTGGCGGGTAACAGGGCCTCCGTAAATGCTTGTTAACGGTATAAAAGCTAATGAAAAGCTTGTAGCTGCGGAAATCAAGAAAGTGGAGCTAAGATCATTGTGCCCCCGCAAGCCCCAATAATTGTAGCTCCCTAAATAGGCTGTGTAAGGGCTCAGCGAGAAACAGAAGGATCTGGGTCACCATAACCGGCTCACCTCCCCCATTTGGGTATCATCTCTCCTCTTCACACTGAGGCTTAACAAGGCTTATTTGGAAGGCACTTCGCATGCAGAGCTCATTAAGTTCGCTAGAATATTTGGCAGTAAAACAGTGCTCTGAGAACCCAGTGACCTCAGCCAATTGTGGCGAGAGATGAGTGGAAATGGGGCCTTGGTGTGTGAGTGGGTGTGTGTTGCAGGGGTGGTTGGCTTTGAGACCCACTCTTCAGTGCCCTGGCACACTTTGGAGAAGAGGAGTGTGGGCATGGTCCGGAATTAATGATAACCTTCCTAGGAGGTCCCTCCCACCTTGCCCAGGGCCTGGCTGAGAGGAACAGTGGCTCCCTGCCCAGTTACACCTGCTAGCCCAGCAGTAGACTGCTTCGCAGGCTACCCTTTGTGGCCTCACCTACAGCCCTTCGCCGAAAACAGCCAACGAACTCAATGCCCCAGGGGCAGTGGTGAGGTTATTTTCACCCAGAAAGGACAACTGATCCCAGGAGAAAAACCGCTCTTGGCAAAGGGCACTGGGGGTCGCGCTCTCTTTGTGCCGGGTATTTTACGGGCACAGCGGTATCCCGTGTGGAGATGTGTGTAGGGGGACTGCAGTCCAGGGAGGCCAAGCCACGGTTCTAGTCTGCCCCGAAAGCTGAACCAAGCCGTGTTAAACTCACAACTCCTGACTTGGGGAGTAGTACTACTCTAACTTGTGCCACTCAGAGACACCCTCTCGGGGGGCTCCCACACCTGCTGGGGTTCTGCAGCGTTTGGCTGAGTGACTTTACATCTTTGGGCCTTCGTTTCTCCAGCTCATTGGTACCATAGCGAACTCATAAAGTTGGCAGGATTTGTCTTTTTGTTTAGGTTCTTTTTTTTCAAACTCCCCATAAAGGAACTGGGGTCTCTGATGAAAGAAATTTGCAGAGTAAATTCCTTCCCAACAGATCTGCTCAGAGAGGCGACTGGCACGGAGCAGAGAAAACAGTGTGAGAAACCATGAAGGAGCATGGTGGTTAACGAGCACCTGAACCTCGGTGAGCCTGCTGATGCCCACACAGGTAGGCCACCCCTAACTTGTAAGGTTACGGGGGCCACCCAATGAATTGCATCGGCCAGTCGAGATTCCATGAAATACACTGTTGAGCTCACATTAGTCGACTAGCCATCATCTGAAAAATGTGGTAAATCTCATTTCGAAACAACTCACTTTCTCCCTTCCACCCTTTTCCCTGGACAACACATACCTGTGGATCCAGGATTCTCCACGGGTGCCACCTTTTCTAAGGTCTCCCTGGAGGAGATGGCACAGAGGAAAAGCACCAGCTGCCAAGAAACTGGTAGGTTCATCTTGGTGAGAAGCCACAGGTCCTAGAAGTGCCCTGAAGCCGAGACAGAGAGAGGAAGGAAGGACTAGGTCAGGCACAGGCCTGGGCTGGGTGTTGGGACAGAGCCCGGTGTGAAGGGGGGAGACAGCCTCTGCCCTTGGAGGCCCCAGCGGAGGGAGGAGTCTGAACAGACACACCGTGGAAGTGGAACTGAGAACACTTGCACAGTATAGTCAGACCTGAACTCATTCTAGGTGAGGATCATCAGCAAGGGCTCACTGGAGGCCAGTCAGAACAGGAAGGAAGGAAGGACCCCTATTGGTGGAAGGCAGGACTGCTCAGGTTGCAAAGTGGCCAGAATTCTGAACCTCAGGTTTGCTGGAGAGGAATGTTGGAGCGATGGGGGGTGAGATATGAGGTGCGGGAGTGAGCAGGGAGGGGTGGAGTGAAGCAGGGCAGGGAGGACCACCTCACGGAGGACACTGAGGTCCAGACATTCTCTCTGGAGCTGGGGTACTTCTTCCCTCCGTGCTGGGCTCTGCATAAGTCCACGACTTTCTCTGCTCCTCTCTCCCTTAGAACTGGGCCCTTGTCCTTCCTGCTGTAACAGAAACTGAATTATTTTCCTTTTTCATGAAAAAAAAGAGAACTTGCTTTCTCTTGTAGCCTTTGACAGCTGAAGACCGTCATTAAATGGTCTTATTGCCTATAATTCAGGGAAGAGAAAAACCTTTCCCTGATTTTGCAGGTCGGTTGTCTCCATATTCGATTTTCTGTGGCTTCGGAGAGGATAGGAATGGAATTGACCTCATAATGTTGGCTGTTGAGCTGGGAGCTGTGTTCTCTGACCCTCACTCCAAGCTCTTTCCCTTTACCCTCTCCTGCCCCCTCCCATCTCTTCCAGCTCCCAAGTCTAATTTCTCTTTGAAAAAGTCATCAGATACTTGAAGATTGTCCAACAAACATGATTAAAAACAAGCTGATGGGGAGGCAGTAGAGCTTCAGGTGGAGCCAAAAGGGTGTGGATGCCGGATCTAAGGCCCGAGTCACCCTAGGTGTGTGTGTGGGGGGGGGACTCAGGACTATTCTGTGTGCCCATCAATTTCACCCAGCCCTCTGTTCTTGCCCCTACTCCCCATTCCCTCCCTGCTCCCTCCAGGACCCAGGCATGGCGTGGAGGGGAAGAATCCTGAAATGGGACCAGAAGTACTTGGATCTGGCCGCAGCTATGCCTGCCCTCCCTGTGAGACAGGAACAGGTCACCCCCATCTCTGGGCCTTATTGCTCCACCTGTAAAATAAGACCATTGGGTCAGACTGGCCACTGCATGTCCCTTTGGACGGCCACTTATTCTTGCAGACCTTGATTCTGTGACACCCTGCACCCAGCCCATGGCTTTCTGCACCTGTCTTAAGGGGCAGGGGATCGAGGCAAGATGAATTCAGTAGAGAGAAGAGCATAGAACCGTTGTGTGTGTGTGTGTGTGGTTTCAGATTGTGGATGCCGAGGGTCCAGGGTAATTTGGAAATCATTTATTGAGTACTGACTGGGTGCTGTGTTAGATGCTGGGGTACACGGGTGTGCTAAGACACAGGGACTAGGTGCTATGGTGCACAGGTGCGAAGACACAGGGTTTCTGCCAATCCCTCAGCCCCCACCTCAAGTCTAGCACAAGAAACTGAGTCCTAAGCAGGCCATTTAAAGATAACACTGTAAATGATAGCCTGAAGGTGAGTACACAGGGTCTTTGGGAGCTCATGGGAGCCGGTCCTAAGAGGACCAGGAGGGTTTTCTGCAGGGCATGGCACCTGAGCTGGGCAGATGAATAAAGGCTTATATGGAAGGCAGGCAGGCCAGCCCCACTGGGTGTGGAGGGAACTGCAGGCCCTCGAGCCGGCCAGGAGGGTGGGCTTTGCAGGAGAGAAAGAAAATGGTGCGTCTAAGGAAGGGCCAGCAGGGGCCTCACCCAGGAGGGTCTGAGACAGAGAGGGGTGCCTGTAGACTTGCATTTCAGGGGGAGCCTCTGGCTGCTCTGCCAAAGCAGGATGGCGAGCGAGGAAGGGAGGAAAGGGCAGGCTGTGAGGTTAGAAGGCAGTGTGCCTTCTCCTGTGCTCCTCTGGCCTCGGCCCATCGGCTCCTCGCCATCATAGAGAGCACTTACCGTGCTCCATGTGTGAGTTCTGATTTTCCCTGCTGCTCCCAACACACACACACACACACACACACACACACACACACACACACACCTCCTAACGCATGTGGTGGAAATGAATTGCTTGGAAAAGGACCATCAGCTTCCAAGGGTCTGCAGCAGCTGTCCTGCTGTGGGTAATTTTTGTGGCTCCCCCACCCCAGGGGCTTTTGTGCCTGGTGAGCAACAGAAATCCCAGGCATGGTTGGAAAGCTATATGAAGTGGGGTGGCTTCCTTCCTCGGGCCACCTTCATAGTGCAGGGGTCTAGCAGGGTGCAAGGGGCTCCGGTTGGGCTTGTACTTGCCATCCATAAATTGGGGGAACAGCTCAGAGGAGACCTGTTGAGCCTATGAACCCGGAGGGGTTCCCCAGTTCCCTCCAAAAGCTCCTGTGGCCTCCAATCCCAGCCACAGAGTTCATGTAATAATTACAACACATTACAATTCACTCATTGCAACTATTCCTGCCACAATGAGGAGTCTTTGAGAGGATTATAGCTTCAAAAATAAAGTGCAAATCAATGTATTCACCTGGACATCCCCGAATAATTTGGCCAACTTTGTAATCAGAACTAATCACGCCTCCTTTGCCTGCTGGGACACATCAGTCTGTCTTGGAACTAAGCTCCTGTTCCCATATGGGGAGCCCCCTGGGTCTGGGAAGACCTCCCCCCCCCCCAGTGTGGATGCATAGCGCACCTACCTGGCTCCTCTTGGGTCCTGGTGGGTGGTAGCTCCACAGGGTCTCAGGTGATGGCACCACTTAGGCAGGTGAACACTCGGAGGGAGGAGAACCGGGCTTGCTCTTGCCAAGGCCCTGATCACATCCCTGTCCCTTTTATAAAGCCCAGGGTGACGTCTTCAGGCCACCCTTTGTCTCCCTCTCCCTCCTCCTCAGAGCCCCTTAGAGAGCACGGACTACTATCGCCCGCCTCCTGGCTCTCATGATTGAAATCCGTGTCTTCCTTCCCTCCAGAAGCCCTCAGGGCTGGTTCCCACTAGTTCTTTCTGTCCTCCCTCCCACTCCTCCCAGACCCACTCAGGAGGACACCAACTGTGCTCTCACGAACTCTTTGAGGAGTGTGGTGGGGCATCAGCACGAAATGTTCCCCCTCCAGACAAGAGCCACGAACACACACAGTGCGAAGTGAGCATGGTGGAAGGGAGGAGGGAGGAGAGAAGGGCACCGTGGGACCCAGGGGCTCCCCGCATCCTTCCAGCTCCAGCCAGCTGGCCTTGGCTCTCAGACCAGAAGGGGGCTCCTGGTCTGCCGTCTGCAGCTGGGGGAGGGCGATTCCCTGCATTTTTCCTCTCTTCCTTCTTTCCCCAAACAGTGACTGAGCCCTTGCTCAGCACGGGCCTTTGAAATGAATACAACACGGTCAGATGGACGAGACAGATCTGGAAGCAGCTAAGAAAGCAGATACAGCCCTGGCTGGTTTGGCTCAGCGGTTAGAGTGTCGGCCTGTGGCCCGGAGAGGCCCGGGTTCGGTTCCCACTAAGGGCATGTACCTCGGTTGCAGTTTGTCCCCGGCCCTGGTTGGGTCGTGTGGGTGGCAACCACTCGATGTGTCCCTTTCACATCGATGTTTCTCTCTCTCCCTCCAGCTCTATCTGAATAAAAAAATGGAAAAATGTCCTCGAGTTAGGATAAAAAAAAAAAAAAAGAAAGAAAGCAGATACAGTGGTGACTCCAGAGGAGGATGCACCTGGGACGTGCTGAGGGAGCACAGAGAAGTGACTTCCAGGCGACAGTGTATCAGAAGGTGCTGCTCTCAGGACCCCACCTTCACGCATTCGACACCCTTGATCATAGCATTCTGTAATCGCTGTATTCCCCATGTTGATGAAGGCACCCTCAGCACCCACTGTACAGACACAGAGGGCCCTCAAAGATATCGTCTAAATATATACATCGCAATGGCCTCTTGTCTCCTTCTTGGGCCTGCAATAATGATCCTTACTCTTGGACGAGGAGAGGGGCTCCCTAGAACAGAGACTTCCTTCTTTCAGAGGCTATGTCTCTGCCCTCAGACAGGAAGCTCTCCCAGCATAGGCTGGACCTGGGGGGGTGTCCTGGGCAGATATCCACCTAATGGTTGAGAAGCACTTCCTGCCAGTACACAGGATTTATACCCATCACTTGTCTAATGCTTTCTGCTAACGGACTTGCGAACTCATTATGTCACTCTACAGGATAAAAATGAGCCTATAAGTCCTGGCTGGTTTGGCTCAGTGGTAGAGCATTGGCCCATGGACCAAAGAGTCACAGAGTCACAGGTTCAATTCCGGTCAGGGGTATGTACCTCGGTTGTGGTTTGTCCCCAGCCCTGGTCAGGGTTGTGCAGGAGGCAACCAGTCAATGTATCCCTCTCACATCGATGTTTCTCTCTCTCTCTCTCTCTCTCTCTCTCTCTCTCTCTCTCTCTCCCTCCCTCCCTCCCTCCCTCCCTCTCCCTTTCTTCCTCCCTCCCACTCTATCTGAGGATAAATAGAAAAATATCCTCAGGTGAGGATTTAAAAAAAGAGCCTATAAGAGCAGGCCTGCCCCTCGCTATGTAGAATGAAGTGTGCGTCAGCCTGCCCTGCTCCAGGAGATGGACTCAACAGGCTAAAGACACTGACTTTGAGTCTCAGACACGCTCACATCTCGGGGATTTAATCTTTGCTTTCTGTCCCATAAATACACAGCGGGATGTGGTACCAGCCCCAGTCCGATCTCTGTGGGGCCCTGGACCTCTGCCCCAACGACCCCGACGGCTTCTTGAGTTGACTTGAGGTTTAAGGTCAGTCACCTGACGCCATCCTTCTTCCTTCTGGACTTGGAGACGTCTGGGTGTGCGGGATCGATGAATCAGTGCAGGACGGGGGCCCGAGAGGGTGGCCCCATTTTCTTTCCAGCCCCCTCAGCCAGTGACCCAAGTTCAAGGAGCTCATCTCTGCCGTTCAGACCATTGAGCTGGTGTCTTGAAGCCTCTGGAACAGCTGTGGGAGCCAAGAATCATTACTCCAAACAAAGAGTGGAGAGCAGACTCATATGTAGGTTTGATGGAGCTGGCTGCGAGAGGCGGGAGCCGGGGCCAGCGCAGATGTGGAGAGCTGGTCACAGGGATGTGCCCAGCTGGCTGGAGCGTCAGCGTGCTCTCTGTAGGGCCTCGCTGGGCTTCTCAGAGAGCTCCTGTTCTGTCAGATGCTCCCGAGGAAGAGGAGGGAAAGCGCTGGGGACCACTGCCCTGTGCCTGCCCCAAGACTCTGCCACAGATTTCCTGCTGTCCTTAGCTATCACACGTCCGCTCCACATCTGGGGCCCAGACTCAGCCAGCTCCCCAGAAATCTCTGGCACTTTCTGTTTGGGTCACCTAGACTCTCTGAGTTTCTGTTTCTTTGGCTATAATAAGGAGCTATTAATAGCCACCGTCCTCTATACCCATTCCTTAGGCACAGCTGCTCACGGGTCCCCTCAGCGTCAGCTGCGCTTGTCAGATGGAGAAGGAGCAGGAAGGGGAAGAGGAGCTGAGGCTCGGCAACCTGGGCAAGGGGAGGTGGAGAAGGTCCACTGGACCTGGGCAGCAATTTTACCAACTCTGTGTGCCCCTCCCCAGAGCCCCACCACCAGGACACGTGCTCGATGCACTTACCGCACTCAGGAAGGGGATGTTAAAGGCATTGCCCAGGAAGCTGAAGGCAACAGGGAAAAAGCCCCTAGGAACAGAGGGGTGGAGGGAGGGGTCAGTGATGGCCTGGGAGGGTTCCAGCTTCGCCTCCCAAGAGAGTGGGCCCCTGGGCTTGGTTCTGCACCCCTGGGGTTTTGGAGGCAGCCAAGTGGAGTAGTTGAGAATGAAGTCCCTGGGGTCAGATCCCTTGGGTTCCAATCCTGGCTCTACCACTTACTCGCAGTGTATGAGCTTGGGCAAATTCCTTAATGTCTCTGGTCTGTTTCCAGCTGTAAAGTGTAGTTGATAATAGTATCTATCTCCAAGGGCCTGACATGAAGAAATGCTCAGGAAATGTTTGTTGTTATTATTGTTACTGCCTTCTGCTCCTCAGATTGGGGGTCCCCACCTGCTGTAGGACGCTCTGCCTCCTGCCTCAGCCTCCTGCTCTCATTAAACACACCCTGCAGGGCCTGGCTGGGGACACAGGGGTGACCCTTCAGAAGGCTCAGAGGCACCGAGGCTGACGTGGGGAGGGAACCCTGTGTGCAGCGGAGAGGTCATGGGATCAGACATTGGAATTCTGCCTGAGTGATTTCCTTTTCTTGGGCTGCACTTTCTTGAGGTTCACCTGCTTCCCCGAGGGCTCCCAGCTCTGACTCCCCCTGCGATGCTGCTGTAAGGTGTCTTTTTCCCGCCTGACTGGGTTTGGATGACTGCTCGCAGTCCCAAGCTCTTAATAAACGGTCTGGATGACTGTCAGAATTATTTGTCCTCTCTATTGAGTTGCAAGTCCTCAGGACGTGTCCCCCTGTTTAGTGCTGTGTCCTCAGACCTAGCTGTGCATGGGGCACATAATATGTGCTTTTTATATCTTTGACACTGAACAAATGACTGAATATTAAATACATGGATGGCAGAACATGCGTGAGAAAATTTGATTTCTTGAGGCCATGCTGCATGATGTTTATGAATCTAGGCATTCAGGCTAATCGGGTGTTCTCAAAGCTACACTGAGCAGAATGAGGGCTCCTATGGGAACGCTGGGGTTCCAGACCCCAGCTCCTTCCCATGATCCTCCCAGCTCCCATCATCCCCATCCCACCCCTATTCTCCCCACAGCACCACAGGGACACTGGGAGTCTTCCCGGCCACACCCCACCCTCCCCAGCATCCTTTTCTTTCCTTCTCCAGCTTTCTCGTAGACCCCGCCCTTCCCTCAAGGCCTGTCTCAGGTCCTGCTTCCCTTGGGACATACTCTGGCCCTGACAATGGCTACACATGGTCACTGAGCCCCACCCTGACTGTCACCAGGCCTAGGCTGACACTGGACAGGCCGGAGGAGGTGGAGCCAGCAGCCAGGGGCACCTGGATCAAGGCCAGATCCTCTGCCCACTGCTCGTGTGACTCGGCAGAGGCAGCCTCTCTGAGTGTTGGCTTCCTTGTCTGTAGAGCTCGATCTTTCAGTGGGGTGTGGAGATGGCCAAGTGAGATTATGATGGTGAGGGTGCTTGGTGCATGTTTGGGGCCTAGGAAATGTTAGCTCACTGCCCTCCCTCCCCACCTGGATTATTCGGCTTGAGCATGGGCCCTGTGTGCCCTCCCTGGGGACGGGCACAAGGCTGGGCACACAGCAGGTGCTCACTGTGTGCTGACGGATTGGCAGATCCCTGTGATTTATTCTGTAGCCCATTGTCGGAGGGGCCTTTCCGAGTGTCTGCCCGATGCCCCTCCCCATCTTCCGTCCTGCCATGGTTCCCAGCTTCTGCACAACCTGCAGGCCGAGCTCCCCAAATCCGGGGGGCTGGTCCCAGCTACTCAGAGGCCCGGGTGGTCCACCCGAAAAAGGGGTCTGCACTCACTTGAAGAGACTAAGGAATCCGTAG